CCAAACTTTCTCTACAATCAAGAATAACTACTTTATCAAAAGAAAATTAAGAAGCCTAGAAGTTATTAGACAATCAAGAGAAGCTTTATTTTGAAAACTGCCACTTCCTCTTTAGAGGTTATTTGCTCTTCAACCAAAGACTAGAGGCACGATTTTACTGGGGGTCGGGGGGAGAGGGACTGCATATTTTTCAAAGAAATAAGTTTATACACAAGTGTGTGTTTTATTAATAATGAAAACTGCTTACACTACTTTGATTCCTACCATTCCTGCTTTGACAAAAGTACCCAAAGCTAACCCACTGAGCTGGAGAAGATTCAACTCTCAACCACTTGACATGCATCTTATTCCCAATTGGTAAACTGAAAAAAAGAAGAAAAAACCCCCACTATCACCCAGTTCACTCTGTTACCAGGTGCCACATTTAAAGTAATGATCAAAATAACTCATGGCTTTAAAATGTAAAATGCCTATCTACTTTTTAAGAATTAAAAAAATACACTGGTCTTGAATTGTAAAGATTATAAATTAGGTTCAAAGCAAACAAGTTCGCGTTGTAAGAAGCATACAATTAAAAGTGGTTATTCTTAGAAAATCAAAAGTCCCTGAAATTGTCATGGAATTCTGTTTATTCCATTGAGATAGCGAGCGACTGGTAACTTAGGCTTCTCTGAACATTTTTACTTATAATTGAACCAATTCAACCAACAGTTAACTGACCTCCGCGGGTCGGGTATTGAGCTGTGTGAGAAACAGAAAACTGAGAAGGACACAATCTCTGGGCCGGGACGGAAGAGCGAAGACGGACGGATCCCTACACTGGGACAGCAGTGGAGGACTATCTCAGATTGAGAATTATGTCCAACCCCCTCTCTGTGTTTATAAAAACTAGGACGAAAACTACACTGCCCCACAGACTGTTCCAAACTCTACCCGCAGAGAGGAGGGCGGGCGGCAGGTGGCAGGCGGCCTCGGCTCCGCGCCTTTGTTGACCGCCGCCCCCCCTCCCCCGGCCGCGGAGCGGGGATTCCGGCACAAGGCGACAGGCATTTCGGGGCTGGGGCGGCAAAGGCGACTGAGGACTGCACTGGGCCTCCGGTCGGCCGAGGAAGCGCGCTGGGCTGAGTCCGGCCAGGCCCCGCCGGGCGCCAAGAGGAGTGGTGGGCGCGCGCCTGTGGCCAGCGCGCCGAGGACTCACCTTGGACACCATTTTCTTGAGCTGGCTCTCCGACACCGCCATGGCGGCCACCTCGCGACTCCCGTCCCCGCAGGCAGAGGGTCAGCCGCTCCGGGGCCGCCCCTGGCCGCCCCACACAATCACACACCTAGTAACCAGCCCCCCACCCCCCGCCTCTAGCAACAGGAAGTCGGCCACCAGGCCAGCTCTTCCGCTTCCTTTAAGTCACTTCCGGGGTAAGCGACAGGCTGGGAGCGGTGTGGGTTCCGACCCACCTGGTGGGCTAGTCTCCTCAGGCCGAGCCTGTTGCGAGGGTCGAAACCCTGCAATGGGGTAAGATCAGCAGGTGTTTCACGGTTGCCTTAGACCAACGGAGCAGGTGCAGAGAGGGGAAGTAGGAAGATTTTGCTTGTGAGCTTTAATGACCGATTCATCATATGGGCTGGGAGTAGGAAAACTGTTGTGCGGCTAACTTGCCCTTGTGATAATAGAAGGCAAGTGCATTTGTAGTTGGGGCTTAAGTTTTTCCCAACTCTGAGATGAGAGGCTTGCGTTAGATGATGCCTAGGGTCTCTCAGATGATGAGGTTTTGGTTTTGCTTTTTAAGCATAAAAGTTCTTCATACTACATCCACAAGGGCGAAGTGTAGAGCCCTGGTTTCACAGGAATCCGGGCGGTGATTTCTTCTTTGGGAAACCATTCCGCTAGGTCAGAAACTCTCTTCCGAGCCATAAATCTTAATACACGCAGCATTCTACCTTGCTCTACACGTGCATACTAGCCTGCCCACTATCAAAGTCCAAATCTTTGAGGGCAGGCTCATCTTCAGATCCTCATCCTTGTACAGAGCAAGAGTAGGGGCTTGATCTTAATCGCATTTCTACTACCCAAAGAAGTTCTTCATGGTTATTTGTATGAGTCATTATTGCACTCACCACCAGTTTTATAAGCACACGGTGTCATTCAAGGTATTGTAAAGCTTGGGTTTGATGATATGAAGTATGTTCATTGGATGATGTTAGCTTAATGCTAATGAGGAACAGGCTGCGGTATTCTTTTCTAAATTGGCATTTAGGTGAAGTCACAAACACGGAGGGCTTAATTGAACCATGTGGAAAGTATCTTAAATTATTGCCAACACACAGGCACAGGCTATCCCAATAGGTATTTTTTTTTGATACGGCCATCATGTGTTAGTTAAGTATACAGCTCCAGTCAAACCAAACTATAGGGCAGTCTATCTTTCCACTGCACCTTTTTTTTTTTAAGATTTTATTTATTTGAGAGACAGCAAGAGCAAGAGTGATCACGGGGGTGGGGGGGTGGGGAAGAAGACTTCCCGCTGAGCAGAGAGCCCCACGTGGGGCTCGATCCCAGGACCCCTAGATCACAACCTGAGCCATGCAGACGCCCCTCCACTGCACCTCTTTTATGTCACTTAAAAGCAAAGCAGTTTTCAAACTGGTCTTAAAGCCACAACTTATTCAGAAATACCCTCAGAGCAACTGTGCTTTGTCAATTGGGAGAGTGCAGGTAATACATTGTTTAAAAAGTTTTCTTGCTGGAAGTAATTTTTATAAAAGCCCAAAAACAATTAACAGAAGCCAGTCTCTTAATTTTGCACTTAAGCCACTTAAAATGAAATAAATGTGCTGGGTACTGTATCAATTATATGAAAGAAACTCTCCTCAATCTGAATAAATTTTCGTTCACTCTTTAAATAAATTAGGCATCTTCTGGTGATTTTAAAGTCAAAGTTTATTTTACTCATTGTTCTTGATACTTAAGGAAAGCTACAGCATAAATTAGAATATCAAGTATTTATCTCTCCACTACAAAATCAAAGCATTTTAATCCAAGCCCCACTAAAAATCATAAGAAGAGACAATGCATGATTTTGGAAAAATGAAACAGTGAAAGTTAAAAGAACCGTGAAAGGCAATTACCACCAAATCATAGTGAGGTAGTGGTGGTACTGCTTCTTGACTTACATATGGAACCTACATGATTGGTAATACTCAACACTTAAGGAAATAACTGACAATTATTTCTATATGGTGGGCTTCTGCAGGGCAAGGACAATTACTCAACTTTGAATACTTATATTCTAACACAGTATTTGGAGTAACAGTAGATGCTCACTAAGTATTTGTTGTATTGCATTCATTGACCTTCATTTATAATTAATATAATGAACTTTTGGTAATTCATCTATTACACAATGTCTTGCAGTAAAGTTATTAATTCAAGAGCATATTAGAAATTAGTAGAAATTATCTAATTTCTAATTAGATCACAGATATTAGAAAAGGCCAGTTTAAAAAATACAAGAAATGGTTCTTTCAGTTTTACTTCCCTATTTCATGGAACAGGAAAGTGAGGATACATTGTTAAGAGTAACACCAAAATAATCTACCCAATGTAGTGAACTTACACAGAACTAATACATATCTCTTCAAATGCCCAAGGTTTTTATTTTTTAGCCCAGGTAATTCTCACGGGGAATCTTTCCAAATGTATTAAATACTTTATACTTTCTCAAACATGGGACACAATATTTCACTTTATGATTTAAGCTCGTTATAAGCGTCCATTATTATTATACTAAATCGGCATTAGTTTCACCGTTTCGCCCATCCAAGTACTAACCAGGGATGTGTCTGCCCTTACAAACCACCTGGCTCCTAGCTCTCTGACGAGATTTGGATTTGCCTGTTACGTGCTTTAAGAGCAACTGGGACAACTTTGCAGTACTTATTATACTTGGAATTGTACATTTATTTGTGAGATTTGATTACGATGTCTCCCATACTAGGCCGTATGGACAGTGAGGGCTGTGCCTAGTCCCGTTTGGCCCACCACTGTATCTGCAGTGCCCAGTACAGTGCCTGGTGTACTGTAGGCTTTCAGCCAGTACCCTGTGACTGAATAAATAAATAAACACCTATCTCAGTGCATACTCCTCTTTACTATTTGCTGAGGGCAAGTCTGGGAAGTCAGGGAATCCATCTTTCAAAAAACTATATTGGGATAACACAGAAAAGTCAGCCCCTACATGAGAATAGAAGTAATCCTTTTGTAGTGTACAGAAACCCAGCTTTATGGTCTTGTGCTTACTCTTTTGGCTCTTAGGCTTTTTCTTCCTTCTACTGCTTAGAAAAAGAAGAGGCTGTGTGGATAAGTGCCCCTGGGCCGTGACACCTGGGCACTAAACCTCAGTTTTCTCCTCTATAAAATGATAGAACCTACTGCAGTGGATGATTTTCAGGATTCAATAAAATAATAAAGTGCTCATCAGCCTGCCTGAAACAGAAGGGTCAGCGTTAGCTGTTACTACTAGTTGTGTGTCACATCTGTAATAATATGATATCTTTCACATATGAAGATATTGTTATTGACCCATAAAGGCATATGTACTCTGAATCATTTCTTCAGGAGTGGTTAAAAGATTTGCTCAGAACAGCCAGTCCATCCAACCTCTTCTTCTTAAGACTAATGTTTTTTTTTAATTTTTTATTGTTATGTTAATCACCATATATTACATCATTTGTTTTGGTGTAGTGTTCCATGATTCATTGTTTGTGCATAACACCCAGTGCTCCATGCAGAATGTGCCCTCTTTAATACCCATCACCAGGCTAACCCATCCCCCTACCCTCCTCCCCTCTAGAAACCTCAGTTTGTTTTTCAGAGTCCATCATCTCTCCTGGTTCGTCTCCCCCTCTGACTTACTCCCCTTCATTCTTCCTCTCCTGCTATCTTCTTCTTTTTCTTTTTTCTTAAAATATGTTGCGTTATTTGTTTCAGAAGACTAATGGTTTTTAAGAAAGCCTCATATTTTAGCTTTAAGGTAAATTGCTTGGCTTTCTTTTTTTCATAATCTATTTCCACTAAAAATATACATTTCTTTATGATACTAATAGTATAGTGGACTTTTGAGATGTTGGAGATCTATTATATAGCCCAAGAAAGGGTTATAAAAAATTTCAGAAAGGACAGTCTCACTGGAAATTTAACTACACTTTTTCTTCAATATTAAAAAATTTCACTTGCTCTTTTACTACTTGAAAAGGCACATAAAATTCTTTTTTTTTTTTTTGGTAGCTAATTAATTTGAAGAGGGGAAACAAAATGCTTTCCCATTACTACCAATTACATTTTAAAGAAGAAACAATACCTTAGGCTGGGGATCTTTTGAAAGTACACCTAGCACAGATTCTGTAAATCAATACTGGACGTTCAGCTTATCGTGTTTATTATAACAGTCAGGGAGTCATTTTTCTTTTAAAAATATATTACTTTCAAAATATTCCCAAAGTGCTGAATGTGCTTTTAGTTGAGGATCCATAAATTTAAATGATGCATATTGTAGATGAATGTCTACTTCTGCTGGAGGTTTAAAGAACAGTTTAGATAGCTCAAGAGCAACACAGAAAACTAGATCTCCCCCCCACACTCCCTAAGGATTCAAATTACAAAGCTAACCGGAAACCGTCCCCCTTAACCAAGCAGTTTGTAAGGGTAAGTAATAAGATACAGAAATTCTTAACCCTATATATGTTGGCCAAATTAAATGACCTTTCCCTTCCGGTAACTGAACTTTAGAATCAAAGTTTTAACTGTTGTTGGAGACCATGGATTGATGATGCACTGCTTTGGAGTTTCTTGGTCACTGTATCTTCCTTCACTGTGCTTTGGATGACTTCTGATACGCCACTGGTTCCAACGATGCAAGGCAAACTTAAGAACACTTCACTGTTTATGCCATAATATCCCTGAAATGAAAAAAAAAATAGGGATTATGATAGAGCTAAATCACTGCAAAAAATTAATATCATAAATATGGATACTTCCTTGCTTTTCTAGTTGTTATAAACAGATACAAATTGAACTTTAAAAAAAATTGTGTTCATTTAATTTCTAAACTCATGATTGTTTCAGAAAATGTGTGCGAGATAGGAGGCAGGTGGTCAGAGACAGCCGCTCTGTGGGGCAGTGAGCTAGCCCACTGCAGTATGGGGAGCGGGGTGTAGGCTGAGAGAAGATGGTCTGAGTGGACTCCCTGGGGAAGGACCCGGTCACATACGGTAACCTGTTTTAAGTTTTCCTTTCCGTGTTTTATTTCCCTCCTGATATTCCAGAGTTTTCAAGATGATGTGGTTAAGCCTGTGTGCTTTGTCTTAGTTGTGCTTTAGGGACAAAGTGGTAAAGGATCAAGTGAACTGGAGAAGCAGGTGGATGAGCAGCTAAGACGAGCTGGCATGTCAGTCTGGGGTGACGTGACTGGCGGAGGTGTGGTAAATGACAACCAGAAGAACTTTATGGAATACACAAACGTTTCTTGAGGCTTCCCAAAAATTACATGAGGGGGAGGGGCAACCTGGAAGAAGTCCAGACTTCCCATAACCAAGCAGGACAGGGCTTAGACTGAACTGTCTCCTCCGGTGTGTTCTTCTCAAAACCGGTGATACTGAAGACACCTGAGGTACAGTCAGAGTAACATTTTTTCTGGATTTGGACGAATAATTTCGAAGTTTAAAAACATGATGAGAGTATGAAAACAGCAATTACCTTTGCTAAAATTGATACAGAATGTACTTTCTTTTTATTGCTTACAATACTGTCAACCAGGTCAGCTACCGATAGTCCAACAGACCAGGATCTTTGGCCTTTTGCCCGTAACAGTTCCATGGCTCTAGGTTACCAAAAAAATAAAAACAAATTAAAAAATAATAATAAATCTCAGAAAATTCACAAAGTATGCACATTTAGTTTTACACCGTTTAAGGTATTAATTAGATATTTTTTGATTCAGAAATAAGTGTTACATAGCAATTGTTAGGAAAGCCTACAGATAATCTACTGACTAAACTTTTCTTAAAATGTCAGGCAGGTAGTTCACAGAGAAAATACAAATGGCTAACATAAAAAGAAGCTCACCTCTACTAATATTTAAATGTGAGTTAAAACAATACACCAGTGTTGCCTATCAAAATCAGCAAATTTAAAAAGATTGATAACTACCTCTGGAGAAGCTACAGAGAAACAGGCATTCCCGTAACTGCTGTTGAGACCGGTAAGTGATATAATCTTTTAGGAGGAAGATTTAGCAACATCTGATCTAGAAATTCCTCCTCAGGGATTTTACTCCACTGCAATATGCGCAAGTATGCAAATATATATGCATGTTTGCCTTGTGTGAGACAGCAAAAATTCTGGAAACAACTCATCAAAAGAGGACTGGTTCAATAAATAATGATTCAAATGTAGTACTGTATAGCTCCAGAGAGGAATGAGGTAGACTTCTATGTACAACATGGAAAAATGTCCAAGATTTATTAGTAAGTTAACAAAGTAAGTTGCAAGGTAATATGAATAGCATACATCTATTATTATACAAATAATAAAAATAATAATGTTTGCATAAGCACTGGAAAAATGTTTGGACATGTGGACACTAAGCTGTTAATAGTTGTCTCTGGGGGGGGGGATGACCCCCCCCCCCAGCTTTTCACTTTCTACTTTATAGATATCTGTAGTATATGAAGTTTTATAACAGCATACATTCTCTTTGTAAATAATAAAAATGATATAAATTAAATAAACATGTTTGGATTTCTTCCTTTTATAATTTCTTCCTTATAAATGTAGGATTATGTAGAGAATCAGATTAGAAAGGATTATATAACACTCTACTCTTCTCAGTAAGAGAATATTCTTTCCAGTTGTTACAGGCGAAGAGTCTTAAGCTGAATGTTTAAAAAGCTAAAAGTCTCCACCGAACTGCAAAAATGTATGTTATTATGTGATGGTGAGACAACAGATGACATAAAAATACACGGTACATGGAGTACAAACTATAGGGCACGGACCTCGGAAGGTGTCTGACCAAAGGCAAAAGACACAAGGATCTATGTGTCACACTTTATTTTTGCCTGAACTTATAATATGGCTTATCCATTCATATTAGATTGGTTTCCAAATGTATTTATGTATCATCAATAAATACATTATTGGGATGTCTGGGTGGCTCAGTCGGTTAAGCATCTGCCTTTAGCTCAGGTCATGATCCCAGGGTCCTGGGATCGAGTCCCACATTGGGCTTCTTGCTTGGCAGGGAGCCTGCTTCTCCCTCTACCTGTTCTGCCTGCCACTCCCCCTGCTTGTGCTCTCTCTGACAAAAAAATAAATAAAAATCTTTAAAAAAATAAGAAAATAAATAAAATAAATACATTATTATTTTTTAAGATTATTTTAGAGAGCACTTGTGAGCAGGGGAGGGGCAGAGGGAGAGAGAGAGAGAATCTCAAGCAGCCCCAACAATGGGGCTCAATCTCACGACCCTGAGATCACAACTTGAGCCAAAACCATGAGTTGGACACTCAACCAACTGAGCCACCCAAGCGCCCCTGTATTAAATTTAAGTGATAGACAAATTCTTTCTACATTAAGAAAATTCTTAATATCCTCAGATGTTGACCTATCAGAGCAGGAAATCAAGGACTATAAAATTAAGAACCCTGTTTTACCATTTACCTGTCCATAGTGTATCTGAAATAAAGTTTGCAAAGCACTCCTGGATCTTCTTTCAGATAAGAAATCAGAGACTAGAAAGCACTGACCTCTTGTACTTTGAACTTGTCCATACTAGCTAGTTTTGTTTGTAGAAGCCTAGTAAGGGCATGCTGTGTAAACAGTTGTTTTGGTAGCTACGAAGTACATGATTTTCAACTGGGCAAATGCAAATTGACACTCAGTGTTACCTGTTGGACAACTGCACCTGAGAGTTAGGACTCATTACTTCTTCTTGGCCACCCCATGTGGGCACTAAAAATTAAAGGAAAAATTAATTATATGTTGCTAACAATTCCCTTAGGATTAAGACGTGATAAATGATCATTTGCAGTCAAGGGTATCTGTATTAAACTTTAAACACTTTCCCCCCTTTTCTAGAAACAGTTTTCCACTGTTGGCACTGCGTATGCTGTGCTTACTGCCTGGGAGTTGCAATGCCCCCAAAAGCATGACCCCCAGAGCCTAGCTTCAGCCTCCTCCCCTGTGCTCTCTCATCAACACTAGTTCTGCGAGGGCCGTTTTACTGTCCAAGTAGAAAGCTTTCTTTCCTCAGCAGCAAGCACTTGGCATTTGCTCCACTGGGAAACACACTGAGATTAATTTCTTTCACCACGTGAGGAATAATTTGGTCACCTATTTTGGCTAGATTTCCACAGCTGTTAGAGAGGCAGGGTCCTGTTTGCTCCGAGGATCTTTTGGGTTACCATTTTTTCTCATTACATCATTTACAAAATAACTCAAAAATTCAAAGCTTTGCGCGTGAAGTGGATGTTTACACCACATTTTAATATTAAATAGAAATTGCCAGAAACATTTTGAAACCCTTATAATGTTCATCTGTTTCTCATCTGTGTGAAGACATTCTTTAATACAGATCTGTACTGGGGTAGGCAAAACAAAAATACATTTGGATATATAAGGCTATATTTAAGCTATAACTCTTTTTAAAAAAAAAAAAGATTTATTTATTTGGGAGAGAGAGAGTGAGAGAGTGCAGGGGGGCAGGCCCAGAGGGAGAGGGAGGGAGAGAATCTCAAGCAGACTCTCCGCTGAGCACGGAGCCTGACAGGGGGCTCCATCTCATGACCCTGAGATCATGACCTGAGCCGAGATCAAGAGTCGGACGCTTAACTGTGCCACCAGGTGCCCCAAGATATGTCTTCCAAACTGCATTCAAAATTAGGCCATTTAGTGATGGGTCAGCGACAAAGGACACCATATGTATCCAGCTATCTCTTCCTCAAACTGATGATAAGCTTGCAGGGGACAGGGACCATGTGTTCTTTTGTCCTCTCACACGTATTTTTACTGTGGTAAAGGATACACAGGAGATGATGCAGAACTGACTTCATGCATAATCCAAAATTATATCAACAAAGAGGAAAGCATACTTGCAATAGTTAAATTCAAAGAAGATGAAAAAATTTTAAAAGCTCTTATGTTAAGGGGCGCCTGGGTGGCTCAGTCAGTTGAGTTTCAGATTCTTGATTTTGGCTCAGGTCATGATCTCAGGGTCAGCTTGAACCCCGCATCCGCAATCTGGCTCCATGCTCAGCAGGGAATCTGCTTCTCTCCTTCTCCCTCTCTCTCTGCCCCTCCCCGCACCTGCGTGCACGCGCTCTCTCTCTCTCAAATAAATAAATTTTTAAAGCTTTTATGTTGAGTAAAAAAAATTGTTATATGAACAATACAAATAAATGTGGACAGATTAAGAGATTTTAAAAATATATTTTACTTGGACAGAATGGTTATATATGAATTTTTTTCTAAAAAATTTCTGTACATTATTGGTTTATTCACAGTAGATAGAAAATTGGGGGAAATGTCTGCTAGGTGAAATACAGCATTTACAGACCTTGGAAGAATGAATAAGAGGGACAAGGGAGGAATGAGAAGACTCAGAAAGGGGCACAAAAGTCTGAAAGTTAATTAAATGAGTGTGTGTATGTATATATCACATTCATTCTTTCCTCTCTGAATCCTGACTTCCAAGAGCCATGAGGAAAGAATGGAGAGAGGGAGAATCCTAATCTTTCTGGCTCCACTTCTCAAGAACAGCAATCCTCTGGCCCCCCAAATTTTAATGAACAATGACCATGGGGAAACTCTTTTCCAGTGTATACAACACCTTCCCTTGTGTAGGACTGAAGCCCAAAGCAGATGACCTAACAGTCTATTCTGAGATCCAACCCTTGGATTTCTAAACCATCATTTGAAGGAGTTATCTGCAGTTTACATATGATGTTAGTATCATAGCTGAAAATAGCCGCTCCAAAGTATATGTTCTGCTATCTAATTTGGGGGGGGGGCATAATATGAATGAACTTTGGTTACAACAAGATAGTATGAGCATCATTTCAAAACACATTTACTGAGGTCATTCCAAGGTCAAGGAACTTGCAGTTTGGTGGGGTAAGCAGACAGGTAAATATGCAATTCTAACACAGTGTGATAACAGTTATGCTAGAGGCATGAACTTACTTGACCTGGAGAATTAGGAAAGGCTTCCTGGGAGAGGCGGCACTCAAGCCCAGTCTGGAAGGGTGAGCAGGAGTTAGCTAAGTGAATGAATGTTCAGGGAAAGGAAGAATCAGGTGCAAAAGCAAGGAGGCATAGCAGTGCGTGAATCATTCAGGAAACTGCAAGTTGACCATATGACTAGCACAGAGTGCCTGGCAGGATAGGGGAAGAGGAAGCTGGTGAGGGGAGGGAAGCAGGAAATTAATCCTAAAGGGTCTTATATGTCATGTATTCCTACCCCCAGGCTGTAGCTGTCATTTGTCTCTGAAATACTTGATGAGGATTAATATTATTTGCACACCTGCTATTCTTAGAACAGTTTCCAAATCCTAATGTTGCTTTACTTCAAAGTGTAGTTTTACATGTCTTTTCACCAAGTTTCTATTCATCGCTGTCTTGCTGATCGCTGTAATAGAAACTACCATTTACTGAGTGTTTACGCTGTGTTATACACGGTACTAAATGCTTTAGATAAACTTTCTAATTAAGTCACAGCAAGAAAAAGCACAGCTTTGGAGTGAGAGCAGGGTTCAAATCTTCCTAGTATGTAATCTTGGGCAAATTACTTAACCTCATGGAGTCTTAAGCTTCCTCATCTTTTAATTTGGAAAACCACCATCTCCTTCAGAGGGTGTTTGTAAATTTTAAATGAGATATGCAACACATTTAATACACATAGTAGGCTTTCAATGAAAAGTAATTATAATTGCTGTTACTGCAGAGATATCACTTATACAAAAATATAACCAGTTGATGTTTACACATGTTACCAGCAGAGGGAGCCTCTGTCCATTTCTGGCTTCAGGGTCAAGGTAAGTTAGACCTATCATGGATATAACTATCTCTGAAACAAAGTACAAGACAGGATAAAAAGCGATCTGATGGTGGTGTCTAGATGGAACACAGGGACGTGGGTTGGGGAGAACATCCGTAGCTTCAGTGGTATTGGTAATGTTCTTAATTGACTGTAGATTCATGAATGTTTGTTCTACTATTATGCTTCAAAATATAACGTTATACATTTTATGTATTCTTTTATATAGGTCAAATAGTACATAAGATTACATTTAAGTGATTCCAATTGACATGTACCTACATACCTCTATTTCTAGTTCCCGTGTGAGAGCTCAAGGCAAAATTACCATATCCTTTCCTCGTGTTTTTAGCCTACTTCCCGTGGACCTCTCTCATAGCAAATCAATGCTGCCTTCCATTATAGTCATTTTCTGTATTAGATCTGAGCTTCCTGAAGACATGCTCAGGTTCTTACACATCTGTATAGCCCCAACAGCAGTGAGCACAGTGCCTGAGGCTTATTTACCAATTTCACTATCCTTTATTTTCTCTGTACAATTTGAGATACTAATACAACCATATTGTGAAATGTTTTTATTCATTCAAAAATTGTAACTTATTAGGGGGGCTGGTTAAATAAATGTTGACATATCCAGTAGTTTAAAAGGATGAGTGAGATCTATCTATGTTATTAGGCCGTCATTTCCATGCCATCATTATCAGTAAGCAAAACGGCGAGGTGCAGAATGATGTATGTACTGGCTACCTAGGAAATATTTCATATATGTGCTTATCTATGCACAGAACAGTGCCAGAAGGTTACACAACAGACTGGCAACTGTGACAGAACCTAGGGAGCAAAACTGGGGATCTGGCATAGAAGGGAGACTTATTTTTGACTGCACATACCTTTTTGTACTATTTAACTTTATGCAATGTGAATGTATGACTCTCAACTAAGACAACAGCTTAATAATTTACACTTTCAATAAGGAGAAGGTATACACACAAAATATTCAACTTGGGCCAGAATAAACAGCAGTTTAACAAAAGAATAAGCGTCATGTTTACTGGTTATGTGGTTAATTACCATAGAGTTAGCAATAGCTTGTAGCTCAAAGGGGTGAAGGAATCACTGTGGAGGGATGTGATCAGGAAAAGCTTCATAGTGTAAGTAAGGAGGGCTTGACCTAGACCTGAAAGGATAAGATTTGAGTACGTTGAGAGAGAAGGAGAAGGGCAAAGTTCCCTGTGGCTGAAGCAAAGCTGTGGGGTAGAGCTGGGAGGTACAAGACCTGGGTTTTAGTCCTTCTTTGACCCTAAAAACTATAGGTTCTTGGGCAGATCACTCTTACCATCTCTGTATCCATTGCTGGCTCCCTACAACAAAATGTAACTGATCCCTTGGGTCCCTTCCAACTCTCAAATAACATTACTACCTCGTTAATTATAATGGGGAAGGAAGATTAGGGCTTTACTTTGGGATTTCTTGAATGCCAAGCAAAGGAATTTAATAGTTTGGTCAGAGGAAGTCAGTGAAGGTTTTTGAAAAGAGTAATATGATTTAGGAAGATTGGATTCATACAGGAAAGCACACAGTAAAGTTCTGGCTAACATCATTATTAATTTGGCATCATTTACAGGGTAGACAAGAGGGGAAACAGCAAACTAATTAGGAGAGCTGCAAGAATCAGAGAAGCAAGAGTTCAACGTGGACCAGAACTCAAATAGTACTAGTGAGTAAAATATGGGGTCTAAGGTGTGTTTGCAACCCTAGACATGCATTACTCTAATACATCTGCTCCAAGTTCTTGTTTGCTACCCTTTCCCAGGGTCCTCTTGATCAGCGTCTAGTGTAGGGAGCATTTTGAGCCTGAAAAGTCATCCTGCTCAATCACAAAATCAGGTTTTGTAAGGGTTTATTCTACAGCCTGGCTCTTTCTAGCACTGAATTTTCTAGGTAGCCAGTACCAATTTACACAGACTTAAATACTGCTATATTTTATTTAAAATTTCTTAAAAATTATACAAATACTAAATATCCATGATGACAAAATTAGGAAATACTGACAAATACACATTTTTTAAAGTTTCCTTTAACCCAGACACAACCACTGTTAATATGTGCCTTTGCCTGCTTCTGATTTCCCATTCCTAGAGTATCTTTCCCACTCTTTTCTCTCTATTGAAATCCTATTCATTCTTCCAAAGTCCAGTTCAATGATGTCTTATACAGAATTTTCTCCAGTCATTTCTACTTATGTTAAATACTCACTCATAAGCTAAGCACTGTAAGTCTGTAATACTCATTCTGGCACTTAATCAAATAGTTCCCTATACTTTCACTATTAGCTAAAATATCATGTAAAATCCTTTCCTTCTTGCTCTAAAATGATTTTTAAGTGTGATGAAGGAAGGGACCATGCTCTATGCCTCTTTTATTTTTTTAAAGATTTATTTTGAGAGAGTAAGTGTGGGGGGTGGGGAGGGGCCAGAGGGACAGACAGAATCTCAACACTCCCCCACTGAGCAGGGAGCCCAACTTGGGGGTCAATCTCACAACCCTGAGACCACCCCTGAGCCATAACTAACTGAGCCACCCAGGTGCCCCATGCCTCTTTTAGATCATACTAACACTTACGCAGTAGTGAGGAAAGAGTAGGCACTTACATACAAAATGAGGACAAACACAGAACTTCTGTCACCTGACCAACTTGACTTTAAAACATGAGAGAAACAGTAAAGGAGTGAAGGAAGAGATTCTCAAGTTAGATAGGGAAAGTATTCTTTTCGGATAGGAAAAGGGGCTTTCCAGTCCGGGGAACTGAACGCTTTCTGTGATAGGAAGAGAGCAAGCGGGCTGGTGAAAGAGGTCATAAGGTTAAACAAAGAGTGAAAATTGTGTTTAAAAAGGTGAGAAACAGACAGGAGGTATGGCCCTAGGGAGACAGTCTGAGCCTAGGAAAGGCAAGCAAGACTGAAGTGTGGGGGGAGAGGAAAGGAAAGAGTTCTGTATATGTGTTAAGGTTTATTTAAACATGGCTCTCCAGAGAATTAAACTTTCAAGTTAATCCTGGACTCTGAAATTCAATTAAAAAATATAAAACTAAGGGCTCTTGCCCAGTCTTAAACTTACAGAAAAGTAAATAAACGAGAATGCCACACTTGAAGAGTCTCTTCACGATACAGGGCCTGTTACATAAAAGGCACTACAAAGTGAAACAAAAGCCAAGTAAGCGCAACTATTCCAGTATCTTCAGATGTATTTGAACAGCATGGCCCCTGGGTGACTTAGGTTATCAATATAACTAATAAAAAAGTACTTCTTACCTTTTTCTTCTCCCTGCTCACCAATAACCCATACTTGTTTTCCTGACATCTGTGCCTTCAAGACATTTGTAATAATATATTGTAATCTCTGTGAATCCAGATTACATCCAATTCCGATCACTCGATTTACAGGAAATGCACTCAGTTTCCATGTTACATATGTCATGATTTCCACTGAATATCACACACAAGGTGAAAATACAAAGATTTTTAAAAATATACTTCTAGCCTAGTTCATAAACAAAAACTTATTACTTTAATAAGTATAGTAGAGCTTCTATATATTCTCCCAAGGTTCTAAATGCACTGAGGCAAACTGTATTTTTAATATATATTAAAAACACTAGGCAGGCTTCAGCATGATTTTATATAACTTTGTTGTTAAATATAAATTAAGAGTAGAAAACAGATATTTTCCTAGTTAAGTAAGAAAGATACAAAGTGGGAACAGAAAACCAGAAAATAATTGTTTTTCATTGGTCAAGCTTTTTTGTATCTTTAGATGAATTTCTAGCTTTAAATTAAAATAATGATCACATACCACCACCACGCAGTACAACATTACGAACAAAAACAACTATTTTTTTCTCTCATGCCAATAGGATGTCAGGAATTAAATAGACCAGTGTCCCTCAACCAATTACTATAGGAGAACATGTAAAAAGCATACCCTTAGACTGGGAACACTAATAAACTCTGTTCACCAATTTGAATCCAATACCACCTAATTCTTTGAAAATATTTCTTTTTTAAGTAAAACAGTTCCAAAAACAATTTGCAATACACGAAAAGTTAACAACACATACGGGCATGCTAATATTTTATGACACTTTAGAGCTAACAGAAGATCTTTCACATAAGCCATTGTATTTTTCTCTTGGGTGTTCAACTATTTTCTCACTGAAGGAGACATGGCTAAAAACCTGGAACAGAATGATAGTGATATTACATAAAAACTTGTAAGTTGTAACCTTCTAATTCATGCCAGTCCTAAGAAGTGGCTGGCTGACAGGATATGGAGGTACTGTATTGTTCAGTATAAGAGCAATTCGGATAGCCTAGCTGTTCCTTTATAATCTAGTTTTATGACTTTTATCAGTAATGGCAATTCTACTGATGCTCTGGACTGTCAGATTAATTTAAAATAAAACCTTTTACCTGGTTGAGATGCAACAAGCAGGACACCATGTTGACTATAATGTCCCAGAGCTGGGACAAGGGCTCTGAACATATCCACATTGCTTTGTACCACATCCAGGTAGGACTGAGAACTACCCAAAGAGTTGACCGTGAAGATCACCACCTTGGAATGAGCAGAGGCAGACAAATCTAATGAATAAAAAGAAACAGTCTGAGCTCGAGGTCTAGGTTTTAATCAGGTTCTTGTTGTTTTTCTTTTTATTTTCTAAAAGTGGAGAGCTTTCAGGCATATTTGCCTCCAGATCAATCCTATATCCAAAGAAGTATACAAAGGGCTGAGGTTTGCTTCCAGAAAGATGATAAAGAGCAAGAGTGTATCCCCGGGGGGGGGGGGGAAGAGAGCAATAAAGATAAAGAAAATAAAGTACAGGACCCAGAACCCATAAACAAGGACTTCGCTTTTTCTCTAATGCACAACCTTCCTAGGAAAAACAGGTAACAGGCTATAGGAAAGATGAACCTATAATCAGTTGCATCACTGATTTTTAAACTGTGAGTTTAGGAGTCCTAGAGTTCCTGGAAAGTGACTTAGGGGCCAGATGGAAGGACTGGGAATAAGTGGAAAGAAAGCTGGTAGGCACAGCTCCACGCTCTTTACTTTGACCTCTCCCAGCAGAGTAGCTCTGCTTGTATCTCTTTTACTTACTAAGGATTCTTCTCCAAAGAGGAAAAATAAAATGATTGGAAAATCTTTAAATCAAGATAAAATGTCTTGGCTCATTTTTTTACAGGCTTTTCCTTATATTGAAGCCCAGTATTCTTGGTTTTAGGTTCTTCTTTCCATGGGACCTACAGGTAAGCAACTGTTATGACTTAGGAAATGCTATTCTCTGAAGTTTACTCTCCTGATCCTGAAGCACACATATGCTGTTTTACAACGCCATTACTCTCTAGTACACAATGTATTTTATAGTTAAGTGCATGTCAAAACAGTGGCCAGACTTTATCAGCAGCACAGACAACAGAAAAACAACACAGTAGATGGCAGTAGTCCAGTCAACATTTATCAAGTAATATTAGCATCCCAAGGAGACAATGAGTAGATTCCGGGCTTTATATTCTTAATGAAGCCTCTAAGGCCATCTCTAAACAAGTTTCAGAAGGAAACACCTGTGCAATGTGTCCTTTCCAAGTTTAGCTCGTATTTTGACACAGCTGTGGGGATAGCAGGTCCTGGATTTTAATTACGGTTTTTCATGAGTCCTCTTAAATTCCTGTGTTCTAGTGTTCAGATTGGATACCTGGTAATGAGTCAAAACCTGAAGAATTGGAAGGTATATAGTTAACACTTCCAGACCACTTCTATATGCCAAGTACTACTCTAAGAGCTTTCCATATAGTTACTCATTTAATCTAATCTACAGCACACTATGGGGTCATGTCATCCCTCATTTTACAGATGAAGAATCTGAGGCATGGGTAAGTTAAGTAACTTGCTCAGTCATAGAGCTAGTAAGCATGGAGCCAGAATTCAAGCCTGGCTGCAGAGTACTCTTAAGAACTACATTATATTTAGAAATGGAGTCCAAAACCCTCATGAAGACGAGGAAAATGGGGCGCCTACGTGGCTCAGTCGGTTAAGTGTCTGCCTTTGGCTCAGGTCATGATCCCAGAGTCCTGGGATCGAGCCCCGCATCGGGCTCCCTGCTCCGCGGGAAGCCTGCTTCTCCCTCTCCCACTCCCCCTGCTTGTGTTCCCTCTCTCGCTCTCTCTCCCTGTCAAATAAATAAATAAATAAAATCTTAAAAAAAAAGATGAGGAAAATGATATTTAGAGAGATTAGGTGACTTGTCCATATCACCAAATATCAGTGAACAATTCATGACCTTACAATTTGATCCCAACCTATCTTGCCAGGATCATTTCATTTCTTACCCCCCTTTCTCTACTTGGAATGCTACAAGTGCCCTCGCCCTCAAGGTTGCCTCATGAGTAAACAGAATAGTAGCTGTCTGATATGATTTCCAAAGTACAAGAAAGGCTTCCTACTCCATAAGATTTCCCAAGAGAGTATAATGCAAAGTGAAGTAAGAGAAAGACAAATACCATATGATCTCACTCATATATGGAATTTAAGAAACAAAACAAACGAACAAAAAAAAAAAAAAGGGAAGAGAGACAAAAAAACCAGACTCTTAACTATAGAGAACAGAGGGTTGCCATGGGTGAAATAGGTGAAAGGGGCTAAGAGTAAGCTTATACTGATGAGCACTGAGCAATGTACAGAATTGTTGAACCACTATACTGTACAACTGAAATTAATATGACACTGGATGTTAATTATACCTGAATAAAAAATAGAGTTAAAAAAGAGTTGGTGATTTAATATGGGGGAAAAGATTTTACAGTTATAAAGAGAATTAGGAAGGACTTTAAGCATGATTATGTAAAGATATGATCCGAATAAAAGTTCATTCAATAATAATTAATTCAATAAGCCTCTACTAAGGTTCCCATTATGTTACAGGCAATTATACCAGGCCCTAAGAACACAAAGTGAATGACATTAGATATAATACAGTAGGGCTTAGAGATATAAGCCTTGCCTTAGATATAATACAGTAGGGCTCAAGGGTTAGAATGGAGGGCTTCAGAATGAGATTGCCTGCTCCAAATCCTAACTTTACCACTTACTTACTAGCATAGTAGTAAGTTTCCTCCTGGGTCAGGGGCCAATCACCATCTGGACTCCCAGGATACAAACCTCATACCCCTATCCCAGCTGCACAGGTAGCCCAGAAAAACTACGTTCTTCCTGCCAACTCACTGGTTCCCAAACGATAGGCCCTAGACCAGTGGCTACTTATAGTTAGACTAGGGGACATCAATCCAAGATCAAGCATGTCAAAAGACCCAGCAAATAATAATTCATGCTCTGATATATTACTGTTCTCAGATTATGAGGATGATTTTGTGATAAAGGAAATACACATTCATCTTAAATCATTGCTAAATTATTTTACTCAAAACGATTGGAAAATTAGGCAATCAAATAATAATGTCCCAATGCTGTGGAGACCTCATTGAAGTATTCTAGCTAGTATTATCAGTCTGAATATACTGGAGACAGTACAAGTATTTTCATTTCTCTGGTATAGTGCTAAGCCATCCTAACTATTAAAAATTACAAAAAAATATGTTCTTTTCAAATTATTCTTCACTGTGATGCAAAATTCTAGAAATGATGATGACCCTTAATTTAGAAATTGTGTTACAATGATAGCTATTGGGGTGCCTGGGTGGCTCAGTCGGTTAAGTGGCTGCGTTCAGCTCAGGTCATGATCCCAGGGTCCTGGGATAGAGTCCCACATTGGGCTCTCTGCTCAGCGGGAAGCCTGCTTCTCCCTCTCCCACTCCCCCTACTTGTGTTCCCTCTCTTGCTATCTCTCTCTGTCAAATGAATAAATAAAATCTTAAAAAAAAAAGATGATAGCTATTAAAAATCTTCCTATGTTGTGGGGGAAGGGAGGGCACCATCAAAGAATGATGTCCCAGTAGCTTTAGGCATTATTTCAGTCAATGACTAGAAGAGATATTTTTGTCTGGTGAATAGAGGTAGACTTTTTAAAAAATGTTAAACATGAACACCCATATCAAAAGATAAGGTAGGGAATCACTGTTCAGTTCAAGTGAGTGCCTTTAATGGTTACTGCCCACAGTGATCTGGGTTTTGGAACTGTATAAACAACACTGAGACTTTCTAAGATTTACCATATGTGGCAAACTAAGGCCATGAACTAAGTATGTTATGCCATATTTCTATCTTTAGAGAGGATCGTCTTAAGAATAAAAGGTATATCTATTGATAAAATGTCCCAGTAAGAGAAAAAAATGATACAACATAAATTTCACATACCGATACTAAAATCATGAAGAGTAATGAGTGATTTGGCAAAAGGGTTACTCTGGAAGATTTCCTAGAGAGAAGGTGACTTGAGTTTCAAGTATGAAGGGCATGTTGTGGCTAATGAAGGAGTATTTACCTGGGGCAAATATAGAGGGGGAAAAGAGGTTTTTAAAAAAAGAGTTTAAATCAATGATTTTCAGCTTCAATACAGTGAATTTCAAAGTTTTGATCACGACCCATGCCATGAGATGGGCATGCCATGAAGTACATTTTCTATTGCAACCAAAGACACAATATATACATATGTGTTTATAAACAAAACCAAAAACATTACAGAAAATACCCTTAATGTTACTCTGATATTTTCTACTGTTCTAGTTCATTTTTATAAAATGGTGGTCATACTCCTCTGTGCTGATTCCACAATCTGCAATTATGTCACTATTTACAATTTTTAGAATACTGACTTTAATGGGTATAAGAATTACCTGAGCTACTTATCTAAAATGTAGATTCCCAGGCTCCACTCCTAGAAATTCAGGATTCATAGGTATAGGATGAACCCCAGGCATCTGTAATTTTAAGGTGATTCTAATATAAGTGATTAATCCACAAGCCATGTTTCAAGAACCACTGGCTACTGAGCAAATTTTGCTTTGCTCCATAGGTCAACAACATGCTATTTTTAAATTTACAACTATTGAACACTTTTTTCTCCATGCACACACATGCATATACCCACACACACAAACCTTTATGCTTGTATATGCAGAGACTATTTCTGGAGTGAATCATGTGAAACTGGTAACAAACTTATGTTTGAAATCCTAGTTTAGCCTCTACCTAACTGCATGTCCTAAGCTACAATCTCTCTGAGCCATCTATAAAATAAAGAAAAGTAACAGTGAGTGAATATATGTAAAGTACCTAGCATATATTACTGATTCCTCAGAAAAATGTCAAGTGCTATTATTGTTATTTAGGGATAAAAGATAAACATAATAGTAAACATGATAACATAATAAACATTAATAACCATGATCAAAATGTCATAGGATGATGATCCCATTAGCTATGTTTAATATAGAACAAAAGTAATTTTAAAAAAAGAATAAAAGTAATCAAGAGAAAACAGATAGGAAAACTTATGTACTGTTGGTGAGAGTATAAATTGGTGTAACTTCTTTGGGAACAATTTAACAATATAAATTTTGAAAACATGTATCTTTTGACCCAGTAATTCTACTTTATCTTGCTAGAGAAGTACATGAAAATTTTTGTATAACAATGTTCTCTCCACTATTATTTGTAAGCAGAAAAAACCAAAAACAACCTAAATGTCTCCCAACAGGAGACAGACATCATATGACAAAATATTATGAAGCTGTTCAAAAAAGTAGAGCTATTTAGATCCATTTGTGCTGTTAATAAAGATCTTCAAAAGCACACTATTAATTCACCAGTAACTTAAACACAGAATTGCCATAGTTCCACTTCTGAGTATACACCTAAAAGAAGTGAAAACAGTTTTTCAACACTGAGCAGGGAGCCCAATGTGGGGCTCCATCCCAGGACCCTGGGATCATGACTTGAGCTGAAGGCAGACACTTAACTGAGTCACCCAGGCATTCCCCCCGCCAAATGTTTTAATAGCTATTTTGAAAAAGTCCAAGCAGAGCCAAAGCATAACTCTAGGATGGTTGGTTGTAGTCATCAATGCCTGTCATGATGAAGCATTACTCAAATTTCCAAAACTATTGACCTTAATTTCCCAAAGTTACTAATGTACTTCTCCATATTATGGAATACATTTATGAGATGTTCGTTAACATTATATTTAAAATTCTTCATGTAATAGTAATTAAATTCAGTGTTATCAGGAACATATAACCAAATTGACAAGGGGAACATGAAAGTTGCCCCAAGATGGTGTGGACTCATTCAACATTCCCTACTTGGTGGCAAGCACCACACACATACATCGACTCCAAGGATTCTATTCTTTCAATTATATGAAACAATAGTTATTGATGGTTAATGAGTTACATAGGAGGAAACAATTTCTTCAGGTCCTAAAAGGCCTCACAACCTCTAGGGTCCATATACTGAAGTCTCCTAAAGTGATTTGGAAGAGTTAAAAGGTCCCTAAAGAATTTCAGTACTTGGAAACAACAGGCACAAGAGAATATCTGGTTCCCCAAAGGATCCTCTATATGAGGCCTACAAAAGGATCATTAAAGCAAATACTGTACTCTTTCCAGGCAAGGAAAATGAACTCATTATATCCTACAGGGATCCAGAGTCTTACTTTAACTATTACACCCAATTTTTACAACCTACAGGTATAATTTCAATTTTTCTCACCCACTGTTGTTCTTAGTACATTTAAAATGTTTGTGACCCCATTTTGATTTTTGGGGGGAACATATGGTCAAGGAATACAGGGTACCTAAGTAAGGAAAGTCAAACAACTATAACATATTATGACCTGACTTTAGCTATAACCTAATATATGTTCCTGATAACACTGAATTTAATTACTATTACATGAAGAATTTTAAATATGATGTTAACGAACATCTCATAAATATATTCCATAATATGGAGAAGTGCAGTAATTTTGGGAAATTAAGGTCAATAGTTTTGGAAATTTGAGTAATGCTCCATCATGACAGGCATTGATGACTACAGCTGACCATCCTGGAGTTATGCTTTGGCTCCACTTGGACTTTTTCAAAATAGCTATTAAAACCTATAGCTAATTTTTTTTGATCATGCATCTCTAGTAATAAAGTATTTTTAAGCCCCCATCCCCAAATATGACATTTACCTAAATATATGTCTGTACTGATACATTATGTACATTATAGAATATCTGCAAATTTTTAAATTAAAAAGATGAAATTAAAAACTACTTTCCTAACATTTAAAATTTTATGATAAGAAATCCTTTTGGCCTTATTAAAACTTATTTTAACAATATATTTTTAGTGAAAGCGATAAACATTTTTTGTAAAAATCTTAACACTCTGCCATATTCCAAGAGGTAGGTATTATCCCCATTTTATAGGTGATTAAACTGTGAGAGGTTAAATAACCTGACAAATGCCAGAGCTATAATGTGGCAGAGCTGGGATGCAACCCCCTATCTAACTCTAAAACCAGTGCTCTTAACCAATATATTATGAGAATGGAAGCAATCAAAGAAAACAAATTTATACTATAGTATAAGTCAAAGACAGAATAAATCCTTCTGACCAATCAGAATGTTCTCTGCTCATTTGACTCTTGTTAATGTAATCAATTACAATCTCGTATGACTTTGGGTAAGTCACTTTATTTATTTGAATCTTAGTTTCCGAATATGTAAAATGAGGAACTTGGACTAGGTGATCTTTAATGTGCTTTTTACCATTAAAATTCCATGACTCAAGGCAGAGCACAGAGGATTTTTGGGGTAGTGAAAGATACTGTAATGGTAGTGAAAGATACTATAATGATAGTGAAAGATACCATAATGGCGTCATTATAGATTTGTCCACACCCACAGAATGTACAACAGCAAGAGTGAACCGTAATGTAAACTATGGATTTTGGATAATAGTGATGTGTCAAGGTAGGTTCATCAACTGTGCCACTCTGGTGGGGAATACTGATAATGGGGGAGGCTGTCCGTGTGCAGGGATAAGGGATATATACAGGAAACCTGCTCAATGTTGCTTGTGAACTTAAAACTGTTCTAAAAAAAAAAAGTGCATTAAAAAAAATTCTAGGACTCAAATACAAGAACAAATGAGGCAAACATCTTTTAAGCAGAATAACCATACCTTTGCTGATCTCCACATTAGGCAGGCTAAAGATGTCAAGGTCCATCACCCCTCCTTTTGTTTCTTCTGAGAGGTCCAAGAGGACCAGTCTGTCTGCAATGCCCTATACAGTAAAGTAAGAAAAAGAATATACAGCATTATGCAAACACAGCCAGTTACTCAATTTAAATTCATTTAGAAGTGAAGCTAAAGTAGAATGCACAGGCCTCATGTGCTGTCTTATGAAGGAAAAGTAATACAATAGCAATAAAAGGACATGCAATCAAGAAATTACTGTGAACTTGAGTCATGTGATCCTTTAGGCTTGACTAAAAATTGGGATCTAGCAGGACTTAACTCAGAAGTCACAGACTGCAGATTTCCTTTGATGGGACAATGAATAATAAGGATGAGTTGGTGTACTCAATATATTTGCTGTTGTTCTGAAGTTTATGTTTTCATTTTGATGTCATAATTTCCATTCTGAAAGTACTTAGAGTGATTTTTGCTCTATTTTAGTGCTTCATTTCTAGCATGAAAGTCAACACCAATGCCAAGTTTCTCTTTAAAAAAAAAAAGGATAACAGGGGCGCCTGGGTGGCTCAGTTGGTTAAGCGTCTGCCTTCGGCCCAGGTCATGATCCCAGGGTCCTGGGAGGGAGCCTACTTCTCCCTCTCCCTCTGCCCCTCCGCCTTCCCCTGCTTGTGCTCTTTCTCTCTCAAATAAATCTTTAAAAAAAATAAAATTTAAAAAGGATAATAGTCATAAATCTAAAATAAAATCCTATTATCATGTAGAACCCTCCCCAGAGATCTCATGGAAAACACTCCACACGCCTGTAGATGGCTCCCTGGGTCCCATGGGCTAATGACGGCATAGAAACTCCTCCGAGTCAAGTTACCTTTGTGGAAGGTCTTTTTCTTTTTTCTTTTTAAAGATTTTATTTATTTAATTGAGAGAGAGAGAGAGAGAGAGAGAACACAAGCAGGGGGAGTGGGAGGGAGAAGCAGGCTTCCTGGGGAACATGGAGCCCGAAGTGGGGCTCGATCCCAGGACCCCTGGAATCACGACCTGAGCCAAAGGCAGTCACTTAACCAACTGAGCCACCCAGGCGCCCAGAAGGTCTTTTTCTAAAGTGGTAAGCAGTGTGAGGATCTTTCCCATATTAGCGTGCAAAGGCAAGAGTACCCAGGGATCTACCAGACCATCAGGCAGAAAGTACAAAAGAAAACAACCCAGCTACACTCTGTGATGCTGGGCAAGTCACTGAATTTGGCTCTACTTCATGGGGTTATGAGGATTAGTATGTGACCCAAAGCTGGCAGAGAGAAGACCTCTCTAAATTGTACCTATTAATTTTATTATTGTCAACGACACTCAAAGAGAAATGCAAAGACAACTATGAGTTACCTTTTTATTTATGAGAGACACGAAGATTCAAAGTTAAACAACCGTAGTGCGGGAAAACCCGCATTCTTACACACTGTGGGTATGAGCATAAACTGGTACAATTGATATGGGGGATAATTTGACAAGTTCTATCAAAATTTAAAAACACAGTAATTCCTTTAATCCACTTACCTCACTTACAGAAATTATCCTATAAGTTTATTAGTTCATGTGTAATGAGATACAATGCGTATAAGGAGATTCAAAAGACTAGAAATGACCTAAATGTCCATCCGTAAGGACAACAGCAATAATGAGGCAGTATAACATAGTGGTTTAGAGCAGAACTTCCCAAGCTTGAAGGGATCACCATTTAATAGATCAGGACAGCACACGGAACACCAGGGGTTGTGTTAAAATGCAGATTTGCTTCCATAGGTCTGGGGTGGGGCCTTAGATAATACATTTCTAATAAGATCTCAGATATGGCCGGTGCTGCTGGTCTGAAAGCCACACACTGAGTAGTAAAGATTTAGAATACAGGCTCTGTAAATAGACTGCCTCACTTCAAATCCTGCCTCCCATTTATTAACAGTGTGACTTTGGGCAAGTTGCATAACCTCCCTCTGCCTTGATTTCTTCATTTGTAAAATGGCAGTAATGATAGTACCTAACATACAAGGGTTAGGTAAAACTTAGTAAAAATTAGTCAAGTCATTTAGCTAAGTGCGGGGCACCTAAGCATTCAGCACACGTTAGTTACTGCTGCTGCCGCCACCACCACTTCTACTGACACCATTATGGCTACTACTGTATCATAACATTTGATATATTGTATCTTGGATCAAAATACTAATGCTTACAAAGAAAAATGGAAAAAAATTTCCATTTAGACAGTTTACAGACAAAAGAATACTAACAGTGAGACTCTTCCAACTGTTAAAGAAACATGACTTTAAGGGGCCTTCTTGTACTTAACCAAAACCAAACAAAATTGATAAAACTCAGTACTGTTAGGGATGTCAAAAATCAGATTGATGTGCATACTGTTATTAGCACCATAAATTAATTCTGCCTTTCTGAAGCACAATCTAGCAATATGTAATAAGTACCATAAAGACCATTCATACCCTCTGATTCACCAGTATTGGGTTTTTTTTTTTTTTTAAGATTTTATTTATTAGAGAGAGAGAGAGAGAGAGCACAAGCAGGGGGAGCAGCAGGCAGAGAGGGAGGGAGAAGCAGGCTCCACCCTGAGCAGGGAGTCCAACATGGGACTTGATCCCAGGACGAAGGCAGACACTCAACTGACTGAGCCACCCAGGCGCCCCCACACTAGTACTGTTTTTGAGATTATGTACACCTAAAAGAAAATTCAGAGGAGAAAATAAGCAACTTGTAAAGCAATGTTTATGGAATCATTCTGTTTAGTAACAAAGGAACTGAAAACAATTCAAACTCCAATTAAGAGGGACTCGTGTATTCAGATGGAGGGTGGAGGAAATGAAGTCAAAAGTTAGCATATGTTGTTCTGTGCAGCCAGCTTTTAAAAATTTCTACCTCCCTGGATACAATTTAATTATTTACTAAAGTACAACCTATCCCTAAGACATATGTGAGTCTGAAATAAAAAGGGAAGAATTTAGGTGACAAAAATTTTTTTAAGATTTTATTTATTTATTTGAGAGACAGAGCGAGAGAGAGAGAGAGCACAAGCAGGGTCAGAAGCAGAGGGAAAAGCAGGCTCTCCGATGAGCAAGGAGCCCGATGCGGCACTAGATCCTAGGACCCTGGGATCATGACCTGAGCCAAAGGCAGATGCTTAACCAACTGAGCCACCCAGGAGCCTGGTCAATCAATCAAATTTTAATAGAAAAGAAAAAAACAAAATGCCAGCTACCAAATAAATAGAGAGGGACAGCTATTCCACTCTGGGCTACATCCCTGAAAAGACACAGACATGCTGTTACCAGTGATACTGGGACCTTGGAAGGTCTTTTGAACCTCTCTGGAAGGGAATTTAAGCCTTTCTGAAAATAATTTATATACAGAAGATCTAGTAAAAAGGACTGATGGAAAAATAAACAAATTTCAAACTAGTGTAAAATATCAATTTAGAAACTATGATCCTAAGAGAAAGTGGAGTAATTACACAAGAAAAGGCAACCTTTAAGAAAAAAAAGTTAATTTTAGAAAGAGCTAAAATTAAGTATTATATTAAATAAGAGCTTAATTAAAGCGGCATGACTCAGAAAACACAAAGGAATTGTGACTAAGATGAATGTCACGTTCAGGTTTCCCTTGGAACAGGATGATGAGCCCATTGTTCAAATCTCTTTTTTAAAGCTTATTCCATGACTAAGTACTAATTAAGAAGCAATATCCCTGATGAGAGCTTTCAGCGTTTTTTTTTTTTGGCCAACTTACTAAATATATTTTAAGGCAAAATGAGGTTTTTCCACATGACAAAATGAAGCCATTATTTCTTGTATGTTAAACATAAACTGCCTAAAAGTGTAGCAACATGATAGATGGATTTATAACCACTATGCTTACATACCTTTGCTGAGATTGCTAATGTACAGGCAATACCTAGTTCTCCACCTCCAACCACAGTAATTTTATTGACTGTTTTATGCTCGTGATTTACCCAGTTCTTTGAATTTATGTCTGAGACACCTAGAAATAAGAGTGGATTGTCATGAGAATTTTGAAATAATATCAAAAATCTTTTAAAGCATCTTAAAAAAATACACCAACCTTCAATAACTTGGACAGAAAACATGGTGCTAGTCCAGAAGAAGCACTCAAAAATATTTGAACAAGTGACAAGCAAGACAGGCAGGAATCTCAGTAAATATTCTACTAAATAGAGACTACCCCTTTAAAAAGAAAGTATCTTTCTAAACAATTAAAACAGATTATATAATACTAAAAAACAGAATTTCCATAATTCTGAAAAACATTCTGATTCTTACCGCTCTGTTCTATAATGCAAAAATGTTTAACACCTTACCGAATTTTATAAGCATGGATATTTTGCTTTATCCTCAATGAGAAACATGAGACTCATAAATTCTCTGATCCAATATATTTATTGAATGAGGCAAAAAGCCACATAAACATATAATGAAAAAGGTTTGGGATCATCATATCAAGTGATTTTGAACAAAACACAAAATTATTTTATCTGTCAGTGTAAGAGTAATCTTTTCCATTTTAAGAAACTACAATTATTGGAACTGTATGGTAACACTAACACCCTATGATAAACGTATAGGATTTTTGATTCAACACAGATATGTACAGAATATATTGATTTATAGAAATCCAGTAGCAGAGGGTAAAGGATATTAGTGAGAAACTGTAAATTCATAACTCTCTGATCAACAAAAATACAAACCTTCAGTGATTTTTGCAATATAGGCCAGCAAGTCTACCTGCCGTGCCTCATCAGATGATGGTAGAGAATACAGGGGAAGTTCCTCTTGAAACTTGGCAATCATTTCTTTAATTAGTCCAACAATGACAGATTTAGGCTGCAGAATACAAAGGGAAAAGTTATGCAAAAATTTTCCTAAAGAATACTGCCTTGTTAACCTATATATTGTTACAAAGTTAACCAAAAGTTTTGCATTATGCTCTTATTTTTTGAAAACTACCATACAAATTACATAATGCTTTTTTTTTTTTAAAGATTTTATTTATTTATTTGACAGAGAGAGAGACAGCGAGAGCAGGAACACAAGCAGGGGGAGTGGGAGAGGGAGAAGCAGGCTTCCCGCGGAGCAGGGAGCCCGATGGGAGGGCTCGATCCCAGGACCCCAGGATCATGACCTGAGCCAAAGGCAGGCGCTTAGCGACTGAGCCACCCAGGCACCCCCAAATTACATAATACTTTTAACTGAAAAATTACTTATTTTTTTGAACTGAAAATTAGAGAAATGGTAATCCACATCTCCAAAAGATGGGAAAGTAACATGAATGTGCTTTTGGCAAAGTACCTATGTTCAGGAACTGTCTATCTCTCTCTTTTTTTTTTTTATTGTGAAATAATTGCAGACTTATAGAAAAGTTGCAAAAATAAGTACAAAAAAGTTTTAAATGTTAACATTTTAGCACATATATTTTCTGTCTCCTTCCCTCTCTATATTTTTCTGAACCAACTGAGAATAAATTGCAGCTCTAATACCTTGAACCCCTAAATACTTAAGTGTATATTTCCTAAAAGAAAAAACAAAACAGGGGTGCCTGGGTGGCTCAGCCAGTTGAGCGTTTGACTCTTGGTTTCTGCTCAGTTCGTGATCTCAGGGTCCTGGGATCAAGCCCTGTGCTGGGCTCCACACTTGGGGTGGAGTCTGCTTGAGATTCTCTCTCTCCCTCTGCCTCTGCCCCTCCTCCTGCTTCACGTGTGCACGCGTTCTCTCTCTCAAAATAAAATCTGCAACAAAAACCCCCCCAAACCCTCAAAAAACAAAAAAACATTCTCCTATATAAGCATTATCAAATCAGAAAAGTAACACTGATAAAATATTACCTAATCCAGTACTGTTTTTTTTAATTTATTAAGCAACTGTAGTGAAATCCACTTAACCTCTCTGAGCTTCAGTGTTATTAGCAGTATAATATGAATAATAAATCCCAAGTGGCTGTTAGGAGAAACAAATGCATGCAACCTATATGCTGTGAGTGTAAAATATTTATTATTATTACTAAAAATATTCAGTAGTTTGCTTATTTTAAAAAGTGCTTAATTTCTCAGAGTCTGAGTTTCACTATTTATAAATTAAGAGGATGAAGCTATTAGGATCAAAAACTCAAACACTTTCAAAGACCAAGCAGATAATAATGTGTGAAGTTGTCAAGTATAAGAAAATTTAGGGAGATGGTTATTGTGGCAAATTGGAATGAGTGTACATATCGGCATTCAAATTCATATTAAGGACAAAACAAAACCACTTTGCTGTTCAACAAAATTCTGTAGGTCTAACACAGCACATTGAATCTCTTGGGGAAAATGTCTGCAATCCTTGGCCTAGACAGCCTCTAGATTTCTTCCAGCTCCAAAATTCTACGTAATTCTACTACATAATTATAATTCCAACTGCATGAGCAACTTAAAGTTACTGTGGTACTTTTCAATAGGGCAATGTAAATAATGTATTGTCTTCTTAATACTAGTTCTAGTTTAACAAAATTGTTTTAGCTTATAATAAAGAGACTCAAAATAGTAAAATGAAATCAATACTGTTTGAACTAAAATAAAGCATAACCTCAACTAGACTATAGGACTATCTCTGAGTACTTACTATACAAACAAAACTATGAAAAGAGATGCCAATGAAAACCAGAAAGAGGAAACAGGAAATATGAATTCCCACAACAGGGCACAGATGTCAAAATACTGTTTGAGGATAGCTTTAAAAAAAAAAGGGGGTAAAAATGGATGAAGGAGATAGACAATTCATAAAAGAAGGAGCATACATAATCGACTGACATGAAAAAGATTTCAATTTCTCAAATAGTCAAAAAACTAAACATTAAGGTATCACTTTTGTCCCTCCAAATGACAAATTTTTATTATGCCCTATTTAGCACATTTAACTGGCAATCTTAGTTATTAAAATCACCAAATAATGCAAATGACGTACAAATTCATAAAGTAAAAGGTCAGTGTTCCTCCACCTAACCTCTGCTACCCTGGTGTGCATCCCTTCTTTTTGTGTATCTTTTTTTCTTCTTCTTAAAGGTTTTATACATATGGAAAAATATGGAAAAGTATAAAGTATATAAAACATGTCCATAATTGCACCCCTTTTTGCAGGATGTATATAAAATAAAAAGCTGTAATCCTAACACCATCCTTTCTTTACTCCAACTTCACTTGACTTGACATATCCCTGGTCTCATTTAGGGCTTCCTGGTCCTCCTGTCCTACAACCTCCTGGGTACAGAGAAATATATTCTAATTACCCTTTCATAAAAATCTTAATTTTTACAAAAAGGAGAACATACTCTACATCCTTCTAAGTAAATATACAGAGAGAAGCAAAGGTTTGTTTTGCTTTAATGACAGTACCTTCTGTTAGAACAAGGGTACTACAGAACAGGGATTCTACACTGATTTCAAGTGATGGTAGACATACATTTTGTCTACTTTTTGGAGGCCAATTTGGCAAAACATAAGAATAGCCTTCAAAATATTTATAAACTTTGATCCAACAATTCCATTCCGAGAGATTTATCATTAGGAAATTACTAAGGATTTATAATATATACACATTTATGTTTATATATATTTATCTTAAAGGATGCTCATCATTAAATTTCTAACAACAGATCAATTTGTAAATACATTATGCCAATATTTTTATGCGAGATCATCAGGCAACCAATTAAAGACCATGTATTTTGAAAATACTGTTTAAAATGAGAAGTGCTCAATATAATGGTAGATGAAAAATACAGAAAATAAAATTGCATGTGAGAACTTGTAAGGTAAATAAACTGGTTACGTAAATCATGGTGAATGAATTTTTAAAACTTAATGCTGAGTTAAAACAAAATTTGTAACAGAAGATTATATACAGTATGATTCAATTTACATAAAGGTCAAAAACAGGCAAAACTACAAATAAATACATATATTACAAACAAATTTTTAAGAAGGAGGGACTAGGAGATAATGTCCAATATCTTGCTAGTAACTTTTCATGTGCTTTATCAAGTACTGAACAACTATCAGAAGAGAGGGAGCAAATAGTAGTTGGCTCCAGACCTGGAGAGAGCACTTCATGCAGGCTGCTGTCTGTCACTGGGGTTCTGGAACTTGGGTGATTCCAGGGAGCTCAATTTCAAACTACTTTTAAAGTCCATATGAAGAATACCATTGAAAGAAAATTCAGTAACTTATTTGTACCATTAGGATAAATATTCAGAAAAATAAAAACTTTTAAAAGAAAATCCAAATTGATCTTACATGGCTCCAGTTTTGAAGATAGGGCAAGTATATTCTGCCTTGAGCATCCACATGTTTTCCAACTGAGATTCCCATATTTGCAGTTGGCTTTAAGAAGCAAATGGGGGGAGCAAAAGGGTGGGAATCCAAAATCCACAAACAAATTGGTATGTTATATGTATTACCTATGTGAGACAAAATAAACACATTTTCAAACAATGATGAAGCATACACATTATATTTATGGTACAGCTAGGTGGTATTTTAAGACATGTAGTCTAGTCAAGTGTATATATAAAGGATTCATATAAATCAAGGCCTACTTCTCCATTTTCATGTTCCCGTTAAAGCACCAGCATAACATTGGAAGAAATTTAAGACAATGACCAGCTCATCCAATTCAACTCAATAAATATTTACAGGACCTACTGTGCCAGGAATTTGGGATACAACATCTTCTCTATGTAACTTTCTTTGCTCCACCCAAGCAGAGCTATTGCACCTTTCTTTAAAGGTAGTGGATACTTCTATTTTTATACTTATTCTGCATTGAAGTAATTTGCCTACAGGTCTATGTTTCCTTTCACATTGTAAACTTCCAGAGGATTATGTATTATTCATTTCTATATCACCTGCACCAAGTATAGTGCCTAACATACTGGCTGACAATAAAGGTTTCTTATATAAATAAGAGTGAATGAATAAACAAATGAAAAATGAATGAATCAACAAAGATGAACTCAATACATTTGATACTGACCCTAAAGTTGCTCATTAAGTGCAAATGAGCTGGGTTAGATACATAGAAATTGGAGCTGAAAATGACCCTAACAGTGACCTTGTCCAGGGGTTCTTAAATTTCGGTATACTGAGAAACAGGAACTTGAGCGCATGCTCTTCCAGTGTTAACCACCTACATATATCATGCCTACCAAGAGCAAAAATCTCTGACGGCCCTGGAGGCCAGGAAGCCCAAAGCTAAACCTAATAAAAGTGTAAAAACTAAACTTAAACTAGAAATCTGATCAATTACCTTAGCTGTTCAATTTTATTTCCTGATAGTCATTCCTGCTTTCATAGTCTTACTGCATGTCTTTCACTGTATTTATGAATACGGCTGTTCAGGAGCAAGAATGCCTAGGTTCAAAACCTAGTTTCACCCATGACTAGCTATATGATTTTAGGCAGGTTCCTTAGCTTCCCTGTGCCTCAATTCCTTCCTCTATAAAATGGAAATAATACTTCCTACCCCATAGGGTTGTTGTGAGGATGAAATTAGTTAAGGTATGTAAAATTCTTAGAATGGTACATGACATGGTAAGTACCATGAAGGGTTGGCAATTTTTGCAATTTACTTCAAACCCATTTTGGAAGTAGGCCAGGTCTAAATAAAAAGTTTTATTTTGCACTGCATTCCTTTTCTTACTAAGGAAATCTTCCTTCCACTGACAGCTACTTTTCTCATCTTGCTTCCCCCTTTAAAGATACAAGGATACTCAGCCCTGTCTCACATTAGAAGCCCTTAAGAAACTTGGAAATATACCAGTATCCAGGCCACTCACCCAAAGTTTCTGATTCAAGAGGATGGGCTGTGGATAACATTTTTTAAAATCTTCCCATGTAATTCTAATGTGCAGGTAGGACTGAAAATCAGTACATTATAGAAACATCCTAATACTTGTGGGTCTGTTATTTTATATCAGTAGTTCTCAGAACCACACTCCTCTTCTCCTTTTGTCTAAGTCTTAAAACAATTTTTTAAATTGAGATACAATTGACATATAACATTTTAGTTTCACTGTATAATGCAATGACTCGATATCTGTATATACTGCAAAATGATTACTACAATAAGTCTAGTTAACATTCGTCACCATAGTGTCTAAGTATTTACAATTTCGGTATAGGCATAGCAATTAATCCATAGATAATTCTATGATTATAAAGTCATGTGATCATAGCACCACAAAGCGACTGACAGGTACTGAGACACACCATCAAATTACTCCAGAAGTAGTTACTCTGTCGAATATTATATACTCTCTAGAGTAGTGTTTTTCAAATTGTGGTCACGATAATTAGGTCACAAAATTAAGTTAGTGGGCTGCAAACAATATCTTAAAATGGAATTGAAAATAAAATATATGACAGGTAGTATGGTGTTTCATATATATATGCATATAATGTGTGTGTGCACACACGCATGTGTACGCTAGCTATGTATATAAAAGTATTTCTTATTGTGTGTCACAATCAAAACATTTGAAAGCCACTGTTCTAGGCCATGCAAATTTTTCTGTTTCATAATATAGTTGTAGTAGGCCAGATCCTGATGGTGCCACTTTCTGTGTTAATCACTACACATTAAAGGAAAGAAATGTCTATTGATGGTATCTTTCTAATTGATCAAGGATCTGCTGCCTCCCTCAATGCCCCTCCCCAGCAGCGTCCCTGCATTTTAATAGCCCATGCTTGGCAAAGCAACTGGTGAGCCTGATTCCCGTGTCTAACTGGTAAGATTCACTACTGGTGTTCTGTTCTCTTCTTCCCTCCTTCTTTCCCATTCTTTTCTGTCAGCAAATGCCCTGCCTCCTACCCTGCCCATTTAGCTTTCAGTAATTCATTACCGAAGAGTCAGAACTCCTGGAAGAGTCCTCAGATCTGAAGTAATTATATCATAAAAATATAATTTAAGTTAGCTGTAAATAAAGTTCAGATGGGTATCATCTTATTAAGATGAATACACATCCCTAAAGAATGAATGGATGAAGAAAAAGTGTCATCACAACCTTGACACCATCTTGGAGAGATAATAAGAAATAATCTAGAAAATGTCTGCAGGTATACATAAGGAAATATCAATGGAAGATTCATCAGGGAAATAGGACTGGGTGGGAAGTTAGTTACAAGCTTAACTTCCTCGTTTCTCAGTTGTTTACTTTTTTTAGCATGAGTATATATTATTATACTAATAAAACTAGGAACTGAAAGAAATATATATATACATATGTATGTATATATATAAAAGGCAGACAAATAATCACGGTCAACATTTATTAAGCTTCTATTATGTGCCAGGCATTATGCCAAGAGCTTATTTATAGTAATTCATTTAATCCTCATAGTTCTAGAGTGAGGCTCTATTGTACCATTTTACAGATGAGAAAGATAATACATTCTGACCTTCTGATCAGCAGGAAATAAATAGTGTGGATCACACTGAATTGATATAATTCTACTCAAAAGCAAAGAAAAAAAAGAGTGTACTGCAAAAATAAAGGTACTGCAGGTACTGTTACTACCTTGGAAGACCCAGTGTAAGAAGCAATGAAATAACTCGTTGGCTCTTGGAGATGCAGAATGCCGACGAGGGACATCATACCAATGATATTAAAATAAGTTCAAAATAAAATAAAATAAGTTTTATGCCCTCCTCTTACTTCCCCACACTGTCCTTGAAACGGAAATGCTACTAAGCAGTGATTCATTTAAATTCATGAGCTTCTCTGTTAATATGTAACTACCCTTGACATCATTGGGGTGGGTAAGAGTTGGGAACGAATCAATCAACCAGTCATTGGGGTGGGCAATAATTCTCTCTCTCTCTCTAACATCTAATCATAATAAATGCAGAACACAAGTAATGGGGAACAGGCCTGAGTAAGGTTCCCTAGGCAGCCAGAAAAGAGTCTGAGAGCTTGGCAGGAGAGGAGCAAGGAGGAAAATAAAAATCAGTTCTGCAATTTCTGCAGAACTCACTGCTATCTACTTTCATCTCCAACCACATTCCTATGTATAAAAACCAAATTCCTATGCATTTCCTGTGCCAAAGGAAGTGTCATGGTGGGACATGAACAGAAGCAGAATAAAACATGAGGGCACCCCAGCCAACGAGTCATCATGGAAGGGAAGAAATTAAGAAGGGTTTGTAACAGTCTAGGGACTACTGTAATGAAGCACATATTTTGAAAAAAGTCCCCCAAAATTTAGCTTCTTGGTGTCTTTTGAGCAGTGTATTCCCACAGTACACTGCTGAATCTTTTGTAAAGGAGCAAACTCCACTGTTCTCTCCCCATTTGTTTTCAGATCCTCCTCAGCCTTTTTTTCAGGGCACCTCCTCTCTCGTATGCCCAGCAAATTCATTTATTAGTCAGTAATCAAATAAACAAACTCAACCATTCAATAAATATTTATCGAGCATTTTCTATAAACACAGCACGGTGTATTAGTGATTCTGGAAAATACCCTCCTGGGATTATTTGCATTTTAAAAGAGGAATAAATTTTTAGTTGTGGAATTTCAGGCACCCTTTCAGAGAAGTCTATTAGAACCAATGCTTCACTGGTGTTCTTTACATCATACTATATAAGCAATCACCTACGATACCTATCTGAAAGATTAGTCCTGTTGAACACTGATAGAAGTAGGTCTGAACAAATAGGAAGAGTTAAGTATAGGGGAGCTAGTGATTTTTTGTTTGTTTTTTGGGGCAAACACTTAATTATTTTAACCCGTCAGGCCACCTGAAAATATGTTGCTTTCTTTGAGCTCTCATGGCCCCAAATTTCCTACTGGAGTTTCAAGTTATAGCCTGATACCGCTGTGTGGTCTTAGGTAAATCACCTGACGAGGCTAAGACTCAGTTTCACCCACAGAATGGGGACATCATACAGGCAGAAAGGGAGAGGAACAAAACATTGATGTAATGGAGAAAAAGGTGTGATCCTTGCATTTTGCTATGGAAAGCAACAAGAACTCTCCCTAAGAGCAGGCCTATGTCTGTGTAGGGGCCCAGGGCAGGTTGCCCAAGATGGGCCACTTTGGCATAAAGATTATCTTGAGCTAAAAGTAATCGAATCCAGCAGATGGAGGAAAAGCTCTCTGCCTCCCTCTCAAATGCCTGTATTTACACTGGAACGAAGAGCCTCTACCAGGAAGAGAGCTTTTAAGAGAAACTCCCCTTTACCTAAAAAACTTACCTGCATAATAGGGCAACCTTTATTTTTCCAAGCATCTCCTTTTCCTTCTTGCTAATGGTGTTTCTCCCTTTTGTGTCCACAGGCCCCTCCCCTCTCCTTAGCTCATATAAGCTTCATGTTACCTCACTGTCTTTGGAATCTCATGTCTGTGTGCATCCCCCATACGTATGCCGATTTAGTCTGAATTTCTCCTCTGCATCTGTCTCATGTCAATTTGATTCTAAGTCCAGCTAAGGGCACAGGAAGGTCTTCCCGACATCTGTCTTACCCTCCTCTGTATACTATCCCGTAGCAGAGTAGTGGGCACAGAACTGACACTCAGTATTTATTGAACTGAATTGAATTTATTGATATTAATCTAGGCCACAGACTAGACAGGACAGCATTCTGCTATATCCAATAAGGTTCTGTATCGATCATATACATGTGAAAATACTTTGAGAACGTTATGGAACTAAACAAATATAAGTTCTTGTTTAATGGCTCTTTTACAAAATATCCACATTTTCTCAACTGCCACACTTACCCTGATACATCACAGGAATAGTGCCAGTCAAATTCAGCAGGTCTTTCTGGGAACTATCTTTGAACACTGGAAGAAAAAAAGAGCCCCAAAATGTGCACTTAAAAGTAGAAAAAACAGTATTAAAGTTTGTGCATGCACATACATACATACAGAAGCACACGTAATTTCTAAAGTTCATCATCTAGGAATCTATAAATATGTTGACAAGGGGGAATTACTAGATATTTTCTTAGAAAGCCAAGAGGACAGCTGAAAGCACACAGGGCTTTGGTACAGAAATCCCAGGTTCTAGGCCTACTTTTCTCACTCAGACACATGCAATTTTTGGCTACTTCAATCTCTTTGACCTTCAGTTTCATCGTCTATAAAATAAAGATAGTAAGGCTGCATCATAAAGCTGTCATAAGGGTCAAATGCGATAATGTGAAAACACATCTAAGAAGTTTAGGATTATAAAATGTGGGGGATATTATCAAATAATTGTCACGTGCAACAAATCAGTTATAATCACTTTCAGATACCAGACTATAACTTTATAATCAGAAAAGAAACGTTAGCTTTATTTTTTAAAGTGACCTTTTTGGAAGATCACTAATTATCTTCTTCAGTTTCTCTAACTTGATTATTCTCAACCTTTTTTACACTTTCATGTCCCTGAAACTTCGACTTACCCATCAATGACTGAGATACAATGGTGGAGAATTAATGCCCTCATCTCTGAACTGAATATCTGGTTTCAAACTACCCAACTGCCTCGGAAGGTAGTCCTCTTAGTACCTCAGTAACTATCCTACTTAGGCAGTGGGAGGAAAAATTCTAAATAAATTTGACGACCTATTAGAAAGGGAAAAGAGGAAACCAGGCTGACAGAAAATTCAAGGCCAAAAGGGTACATAAGCATAAATGTTTACCTTGAACTATATAAGTGAAAGGTAACAGTGGGTAAAGGGATCATTCCATGGCAAAAACTAAAATGGAAAAGAGCAGTGGAACAGGGGTTATTACTCAGGGACACAGAATAACTTAGAAATGTGGTAGAGAAGCTGTAGGTATAAATATACATTGTCTAATCAAATTATTCAAAAATCCAAAATAGAAGTGATTATGACATGTCTTCAATAATAAAATGGACATTAACAGTATTAATCCTATAGCTTGAGAGTTTAAGGGCCCACCATGGCTCGCTTTCTCTAAATGGAAGAAATGAGAATAAGAACTAACTGGTATGATGATGTTTTAAGTCTATACACGATGAAGAAAGACACTTAAAAGAACAGGCCGTATGCGAACGGAGGGCAAGATAGACATATGTACAAACCTAACTCCATCCCTAACTTGCTGTGTACTTGAGCAAGTTATTTAAACTCTTTGAGGGGTTATGATTCTTACCATAGGTGTCCATAGAATATCTGAAATGTGGGAAAAACATATTTACATTCTTTAGTTCTTCCACAGTGAGATCTCTGAACTTGTACTGAAAAGAGAAAAATGAGAATGGAATAAGAATAAAGCTTTAAGCAGCAGAACAATTACAATTAACCTTTAACAGAACACTCTGCGCTAGGCCCTGGGCTCTGAGTTTTATAAGCGTGAATAGTATGTGATTTAATCCTGTCAATAAGGACCTGATGAAGTAGGTAAAAAAAAAAAAAAAAAGACAGGCCATAATAAAAAAGACAATTAACAAGTACGGGAGAGGATGTGGAGAATCAGAACCCCTGTAAACATAAGCTGCACTGTTAGTGAGAAAATGGTGCAGCTGCTTTGGAAAAGTTTGGCAGTTCTTCAAAGACTAAGAATGAAAATACCTTGCTGAGTTAGGTAGCAAGTTAAGGAGTAAAGCCAGAGCTCAAACTCTGGACCTGGGCCTTTCATCACTGAATCAAACGGCCTCCAAATACTTCCTGAAGGCTTAAGAAATAGGGCAGGAGCACCCACGTCACCATTGCTCAAGATCCAAGTCTCATTCTTGAATACCTCATTCACTTGAGACACCTTGAATTTCCCTCCCAACCCTCCTGGTACTTCATCCTGGTTTCAAAGGAAGAACAGACAGCATTCAAGGGTTTGCCGTCCAGGTGAGTGAATTGCCTCCTCATTCATCCAGAAATACTAAGCACCGAGCTACTGTATGACCCCAGAATTCCACTCTGAGGTATATAACCAAGAAAAGGGGAAACATATGTCCATACAAAAAACGTGTGCACTATTGTTCAAAGCAGCATTATTCATAAAAGCCAACAAAAGAAAACAAGCCAAATGTCCATCAGCTGATGAATGGATAAATACAATGTGTATATCCATAAAATGGAATATTCGGCCATAAAAAGAATAAAGAACAGATACATACTACAACATGGATGAACCTTGAAAACGTTATGCTAAGTGAAAGAAACCAGACACAAAAGGCCACATATGGTATGATTTGTATATGAAATATCCAGAATAGGCAAATCCATGAAGCAGAAAGTAGATTAGTGGGTGCCTAGGGTTATGGGGGATTGGGAGGAAATGGGGAATAACTGCTAATAGATTGTTTGCTCTCTCTGAGCCTTAAGCTTTTCATCTGCAAAGGAGACATAGCTCCACCACCTACCAACTTCAACAGGTATGTATGAGGACCTTATGATTAACACATATAAAAGTGAGATATTAAACAAAAACATATACAATAATAAGTACAGACAAGAAATGAAAAATCCACATAAAGCATATCCAAGTTAGAGAAAGGCCCCCAGGAACAGCTGTCTACAATCTACATTAGAGTCTAGAATGGTACAGAAAATTATAGAGGGAAGGGAGAAGATCATTTTAAGACGAGAAAGAATTTGGCAAAAGAAAACACCTATGATTATTAACAACTTGAAGGCAGGAATCACCTCTTATTCATCTCTGTATCTCTGTATTTCCCCACAGGGTATGCCTCTGATAAATGTAGGCTGACTGGATGGGAATTAGCAAAGAGGCAGACTTAAATGAGTAGAGTAGAAACAGAAAGAAATTATGATCCATAGGTCTTGGCATCGAAACTAAGAATTAATCAGTATTAACTACAGCAGGGTGAAATGAGGCCCAGATTCAGGGTCCCTGACTCAGTGTAAACAAAAGTGAATGAAATCATCCCACAAATGTACAAAAGGCTACACTGTTGTCACCTGGAATATTTATTATGAATGAAAACAACTTTTGTTTTCTACTCAAAATTATAAGCTGTTTTTTCTAACTTTAATGTCCTGTGAGAATGTGATTAATGGCTACATAGGGATATACACCAGAATTGATTTAATTGCAAAACTGCTATAAAAGTTTGTCAAAACAGGGCAAAAGCTCTCTTGCTTGGGGCTTGAATACCCAAATATCACTACTAGTCAAATACGTGATTTGCCTTTTTGACACCTAAAAGAAAAAAGACCTATTTTATCTTTCCTGAAAAAAATGTTCACATCATTTTCACTATATATGAAACAGAGTATCTTCTTAGTATAATATTAAGGCATATATTCCCTTACTGTTCTAATACCACCTAAGAGAAGTCTACATAACATTCTCTAAGGAAATGTGCCTCAGACTATGCCATGTACTTAAAGGGTGCAGGGCATGTCACTAAAGAGGAAAAGTGGCCCGGGAGATTCTAAAACTAAAGCAATTATACTGTCACAAAAGTTAGTAACACTGCGGTGCGTGGGTCACTCAGTCGGTGAAGCCCCGGACTCTTGATCTCAGCACAGGTCTTGACCTCTCAGGGTTGTGAATTCAAGCCCCACATTGGGCTCCATGCAGGGCATGGAGCCTACTTAAAAAAAAAAAAAAAGTCAATAACACTGAAAAATTGAGAAGTTACTAAAATTTTAACTTTATTTGCTAGATTATGTTTATTTAGTAGACTTATATTTAGGAAGAGTGTGTAAGAGTACTCTTATATGATATATGCTGGATGTAGGACACATTGAGGAATACTTTGTGACATCATTTCATTAAAAAACCTAACTGGAACATATCTTACAGATCAAGTCCAATCTTATTCTGTGAGTGAGCAAATCTAGGTTAAGCTACCCGTCCAAGATAATTCAACTAGTGATGTGGGAACCACGTACTTCTGAAATAGGAATGAGGGAACCAGATAATTTTTCTAAACTTAATATTTATATTTTTAAAATATTTTATTTATTAGAGAGAGAGAGCGCACATGTGCACGTGCAAGCGGGGGCAGGCGGCGCAGGTAGGGGCAGGGGGAGAGGGAGAGAGAATCCCAAGCAGATGTCCCCATTGAGCATGAAGGCTGAGTGTGAAGCCTGATACGGGTCTCAATCCCACAACCCTGAGATCATGACCTGGGCTGAAATCAAGCGTCAGATGCTTAACTGAGCCACCCAGGCACCCCTAAACTTAATATTTAATACAAACTGAAGAATATATACATATGTGTATACACACACACACACACAGAGACACAAACATATACACTAATTCTGAAGAATAAACACCCATGCACCAACCTGCTCACATATGATCCAGATTAGTAATGTCCAACAAAACTTTCTGCCATGATGGAAAAGATCTGTATGTGAGGGATCTAATATAGTAGTCACAAGCCACATGTGCCTACTGACAATTAAAATGTGGCTAGTGTGAGGGGCGCCTGAGTGGCTCAGTAGTTAAGCGTCTGCCTTCGGCTCAGGTCACGATCCCAGGGTCCTGGGATTGAGTCCCGCATCGGGGTCCCTGCTCGGCGGGAAGCCTGCTTCTCCCTCTCCCACACCCCCTGCTTGTGTTCCCTCTCTCGCTGTGTCTCTCTCTGTCAAATAAATAAATAAAATCTTTAAAAAAAAATGTGGCTGGTGTGACTGAGAAACTCAATTTTTAATTTTATCTAATTCTGACAAACAGTCACTTGTGGCTACTGGATACTGTATTAGACAGCACAGACCCCTCCAATACCAATTACATCCGTCTGAGTGCCCCTCTCACCCATTCAACTGCCTCCCTTTAACATGTATTTACATTCCTCTGCTTTCATCTCCTGGATTTACATTCCTCTGCTTTCATCTCCTGGTTTTATCACACATGCATGTATATCCCTAAACAACACACTATTGTTTGTTTAGTTTTTGTTTAATTTTAATTTTGTTGGCTTTATCAAATTATAATTTTGCATTTAACTTCCAACTCTTTTCACTCAATATGTTTCTAAGATTCATTTGTATTGTTGCATGTTGCAGCTCATTTTCACTGCCACACAGTAATGTTTCCCATTGTGTGAATATATAACAAATTATCCTTCTTTCTGTTAATGCACATTTGGGTGGTTTCTAATTTTTAGTTATAGATAATTCTGCAAATGTCTGTTGCTTGAATTCTCTATGGTATCTACTAGATGTAGAAGGGATATAAATCACACATAATCAAATTAACAAGGACAAATTGTTCTCCAAAATGGTTAAATAACCATTTAACCACCAGCAGTGTTTAAAAGTCCCATTCATCCACATCCTCCACATCATTTCAAATTATCTTAATTCATGCTAATCTAATGAGGGAAAAATTATAAAGTTCTTTTTCTACTCTCAACATTTCTTCCCACCGAACAATAGGTCATGCTCCCCTCATTAAAAAACTTGATAGAGAGGTTCTGTGAAGAGGAGACACAAAGGCTGTAGTCCTAAGCATACTTCTCTTCCTACAAAATTTATACCTGTCCCAGTAGATAAAATCATTCAGATCAATTAAATAAACACTTTCAGTCATGAGGCTTCATCACCTCGCACAGATGTGCAAATTGCCCCAACTAAGACAAATCCAAAAAAAAAAATGGCATGCATGTATGGTTTTTGCATGGAGAAGTCTTAAGGAAGCATTAAGAATCACTTAACTAGAAAGCCAGCGAAAGGCGGGTTGCCTCAGAATGTACACTGGTGGGAAATCAAAGAGCCTGGACCAAGAGCCCGGACTAACCTGGAAACTGGTGCTAGACATGCCCCAGAAATGTAGGTTAGACTTCTGGGTCAGGCCTTAAAAACCTTTCAAACGTTAAGAGGATCTCTTCTGGGCCTGCAAGCCCCGTTTTTCACTCCTATATCTACTCAAGTCTTTCATTCACAGCACAGTTATTTAGCACCTCCGCTGTGGTCAGGCACAGTGCTAGGGAAGGGAACACAACAGCACCGTCTCTGCGGTGAGTACACCGCATGAGTAAATAAATCATTGTAAATAAAATAATTACTCCACAACGTGATAATCCAGACTTCTGAAAGCAAGCTGAGCGAAGGGCGTGATTCCATCCTGCAGGGAGTGACATCTGAGCTGAGTCTCAGAAAGAAGAGATTGCAGGTCAAGAAAAAGGGGGCAGGCCGTAGCAGCAGAGAGAAAGGCGTGGTTAAAGGCACAGGCGAGGGCTGGGAGCTGTTTTGAGAACCAGAGACGCTGGTGGCGTGAGAAAGTCTCCCTCCGGGTGGAGGCCGCGGGCCTCGGACTCGTGGGCGGAGCCACAGGCCCCGCCGCGGGACTGAGGACTCGGGAGGGAGAGACCCGCAGCCTCCCGGGGGCCACTCCCCGCAACCGGCTTCAGGCCAGCCCGCCTCCGCTCCAAACCCCGGGACGAACCGGGGAAACGCCTTGACGAGGCAGCCCGGCCCCGACACCCCGGCGCCCCTGACCCGGCCCGGTGGGCTGCCCGCACCTTGCCCAGTAGCCGTCTGAGACCCTCGCAGTCGAACTCCATCTCCATCCACGTCCCGGAGCCAGGTTCTGCGACTCCAGCCCGTGGACCTCCTTCCGTGCCCACCTCTGGACGGAGGCCGCCGAGGTCCAACGCCTCCCGAGCGGTCCAAGGCCACGCCCCTTCCCCGGCTCGAAAGTCCGCCCGCGTCCAACGCCCAGGATCAGCGGCAGCTCCGCCGGGGTCGGACCAGCGCCCCAGAGTGGACCCTGAGCGCGGTCGGAAAGGCGTTAGCGCCCCGGGGCCACGACCCGGCTTGCTGGAAGGAAACTTGGGGACATCTGTAAGGAGAGGAATAGGAAGGACCCGAGGAGAAGCAGTAAAGGAGGTAGAAGCAACTCGCGCTGTTTTGGAAGAGAGTTTCTAGAAGGGTGTGTGAAATTCAGCAGAGTATCGAGAAAGATCAAGACCAAAAATTATAGTTAGATTTAGGAAGGAAGAGGTAACGGGACTTCAAAAGCAAATTTTCAGGAAGCTAGAAAGGGAAAATGGAGTCAGAAGGAGCTTTGTCGAAAAACTGGGAGATTGTGAGGGTTGGTGCAGCGTGCGGGGAGGAGTTGCCTTTTTTTTTTTTTTCAAAGGAGGGGCGCCATAACTGTTGGTGGCACAGAGGGAAAAGCTAGATCAGAAAAAGAGTTTGAGAACAAGAGAAGAGGTAGATTGGTGGATAAGATCGTCCACATAGAGAAGACGAAGAGATGCAGTTTGCTGGCTTTGTTTGGTCTCCTTGACTTGTGATTTACTTACTTGCTTTATCCCTGATTTGAGCCACTGGGCTTAAAAAGTCGCAGAAGATGGATATTCTGTCAGGAGGATGGGTAAGCAAGACGGTGATTGTATTTACAGGGAAAGCCAGAGGCAGGAATGCTGTGACTCAATTAGGAGAAGAGAATAACGGCTGTAAAGGGTATTTATTCATTCGACAAACTTTTGTTGAGCATTGACTATTTGCTAGATCTTTTTCTAGGTTTGAGGATACAGCAGCGAACAAAATAGGCAAAAATATCGGTTGTCCTAAGGCTGTCATTCTTTTATTAGGAGGAGAGCAAAACAATACGTAAATAAGTAAATTAGATCATATGCTGGAAGGTAATTAAGTGTTGTGGGGAATAAATTTTTAAAAGGCAGGGTAAGGAGATCAGGGTAGGCCTCCTTGAGAGGTGAGAGATTAAGTGTTCTATATTAGAGGGCATTCAAAGCAAAGTCCTAAGACAGGTGTGAGCTCAAAACAGCCAACTGTGGCTGGAGTACAATGAAGTAAGAGGTGAGGAAACAGAAGTAGGCTAAGTCAGAGAAATAAGGGGGAAGCCACAGATGGGTTAGGGCTGTGATTCTTCCAGTGTGGCCCCCAGACTCACAGCCTCAGCATCACCTGGAACTTGGGAAAAGTACAGATTCTAAGACCCCATCCCCAGACTTACAGAGTCAGAAACTCTGGGGGAGGGGAGGTCCAAGTGATCATTTTTGACAAACCTAGTGATTCTAATGCATGGTGAAGTCTGAGAATCACTGTGGGGCCTTTGTAGACATTTGGGACTCTGGCTTGTCAATGCCATCCAGCCAGAAGAGCATCAGGAACACACCCACCCTTAAACAAGTTGGGTTGATTACTCTTTGCAGTGAGGGAGCAGATGCTGTGGAAAACCACTGGGACTGCTCAGTCCAGGAGTATGAGAAAGACCTATTATTGGATTGGGGCTTTGGGTGACAAGGGGGAGGGTTTAATGAAGTGAACCTTCACTTTGGATTGGGTGCTGTCAGAAAGCAGAGCCAGTTCTGTGATTGGATAGCTCAATAAATAAATATACATTGGGCAAACTGGAACAAGGATAAAGCAGTAATTGGTAAAGAAGCAGCAGTCACTCATATTAGCAGAGAGAAGAGGATGTTTGGTATTTCATGGACTGCACAGGGACCTTTGGTTTGTCTCTGCTTAGACAAAATCATGAAGTGGCCTTATTTGGTCTCATTTTATCGTGGTCTGAGTGACCCTGTCTGGTGTTTGTGTTCTGTGAGATTGTTTCATCCAGCAGAATAACATAGCCTAGCCATGAGTGCCGGGTCAACTTCTAACAACACGGAGACCTTCCTGGCTGGGTCAGACCAGTTCCCAGATTTTGGGGGCTGCTTTTTTCTTTCTTAGGCTTTTACTCTGAGAGAAAGAGGAAGCCACTGGAAGGTTTTGAACGGAGAAGTAATGTGACTGAGTCTTAAAAGAATAGGTCTGACTGCTGCCTTGTAAAGAGACTGGATGTGGGGCGAGAGAGGGAGCCAGGAGAGAAGGTAGGAGGGGAGAAGATTGAAAGATAAGAGGCCTCTGAGAGCACCTCAGGCAGATAAACAAACCTAGGAAATGATGGGACTTCCAGGGCCTCTAAGATCTAACATACCCTGTCAGAAATCCAGTAATCAACGAAAAGACACCACATTAGAAGTGAGGCCTGAACAAGGTTCTTCAGTCTTTGATGGAAGAATCGTTTATGGAAGATGCCTTCCATTCAAACAGCTCATTCTCTTCTGGTTTAGTCACAACGAATGACTTATAGGCCCTGTGAACACTTTATGCCTCTCTCTCTCTCTCTCTCTGTCTCTGTGTGTGTGTGTGTGTGTGTGTGTGTGTGTGTGTGTGTGTGTAGCCATCATTTCCTGTGTGGAAGGTACATTGCTAAGTGCTTTATGTGGTTTATCACAGTTAATCTTCTCAGAACACTATGACCCCTGATGAGGAAACTGAGGTTTGGGGTTGTATTACCTATTTCCTTGTTTCTGAGATCCTGTTGAGTAAGAGATATATTACTGACAAAGTTTTGGGAGAGAAAAGATTACAGAATTAAATACAAATACCAGTTTTAATACTTACACCTGTTTGAAAAGAGCTAAAATGTGAAAAAGTATGCACCTTAAAATAGAGGATATATGGTATAATTGGCTCCATTTTACAGATAGGGAAACCAAGACTCAGGTTAAATTGTTGCATAAGGTGGTGTCAGAGACCATTGTTCCTTCTCTGTGCATTTTGCTCCTTCCCTGTGTGTGAAATTAGCAACCACATCCAGAATTTGGCATTATTACATCCTGTAACCTAACCAGGCTGAAATATTCACTTTTCCTCAAGTATGTCATGTTTTCTGTGCTTCATGCTTTAATGCCCTGCCTGGGATATTTTATTGTACCAGACTACTTCCATCTCTTCCCCTCTTTCTGTCCCCAAAGACTGTAAGGTCCTGACAGATGGCTGTCAAATCTCATTTATAAATATCTGTATTCCCAGTGCCTAGCATGCTTGAATTTATGCATGTCTTCATTCTTCTGATATTTGGTAATTTTGCTGAATGAATGGTGTTAAGGTGCCCAAAGCCATAGGGAGAAGATGGTATAGTGTACTAGTTCTCAGCCTTATTAGAGTTTCAGACTTTAAAAAAAAAAATCTGTTGGAAGATACAGACCTGCTCCAGAAAAATGTACATGCCAACATATGCAGTCCATTTTGTGTCCAATTTCAGCAGTGTTCAGGGATCCACTGAAGCCCATCCTCACACCCTGGTTTAAGAAACTCAAATGTAGTTAGTGGGAGCATAATTTGCTACAACCTTTGGGCAAAGTAATCTGACACACCTTTGACTCTAAAACCCTACTTTTGGAAATTTGTCTTACCGAAATAAAAGTACCCAAGACACAGGTACAAAGATGTTAATTAAATTAAAAGGAAAAAAGATCCCCAAACTAAGAAATGGGAAAAGTGTATATTCTGCATCTTTGTTTGCAGCTTGAGAAAAGTCACAACAATGGCTTGTTTTTAAAATAAGAATTTTTTTCTTGGGGCTCTGCTTCTGACTCTGTTTACACTCTTTGCTTTCATAGTTATTGGTCCTATCAGACATATTGTTCAGGGAGGAAATCCTGGTGTTCCAAATATCAGACAGATGCATCCTTATCATTTACTTCTCTTTTCCCCGATTTCTTTTATTGTGGTAAAACACACGTAATGTACAATTTACCATCGTAACCATTTTTGAGTATACAGTTCACTAGCATTAAATACATTCATAATGTTGCACCACCATCTCTGCCACCCATCTCCATAATGCTTTTCATCTTCTAAAACTAAAACTCTGTATCTATTAAATAATATCTTCCTACTCTTTTCCTCTTCCCAGCCTCTGGCAACTCTATTTTCTGTCTCTATGATTTTGACATCTCTAAGTACCTCACCAGTGGAATAAAATAGATATTCCAGAAATAAATCCTTGCATTCATGGTCATATGACTTTTGACAAGAGTGCCAAGACCATTCAATGGGGGAAGGGCCAGTCTTTTCAACAGATGGTGCTGGGAAAACTGGATATCCATATGCAAGAATGAATTGGACTCTTACCTAACACCATATACAAAAATTAACCCAAAATGGATCATAGACCTCAATGTGAGACCTAAAACAATGCAACTTTTAGAAGGAAACATAGGAAAAAACTTCATGACATTGGACTTGGCAGTGATTTCTTGGATATGACGCCAAGGCATAGGCAACAAAAGAAAAAAAAATAAGTAAATTAGTCCTCATGAAAATTTAAAAAATATGTGCATCAAAAACCAGTATCCTTTACTTAGATGTATGGAGCTTATGTTGTTCATTGACTGACAGCGTATGCTGCGTCTCAGGCGATCCTGCCACAGACATCCTTTATCTTTTGAAAGACATCCTTTGTCCTTATGAAATGAAATTATAAGCTTTCTTTTCTTATACTAGTTCTGTTTTTGGAAGGATTTGTTATAGCCTCTCCATTTTCATGCTCTATCTGAACTGGCATACTCTTTTTGTCATCTTGCGGCTTTCCCGGTTAACAAGTAAAAACCCGGCAATCCTCAAAAGAAATTTTCTAGGAAATTTTGTTTAACAATCACAGCATTGTTTATTGAGATAAAAAATGGGAGAAAACCTAAATGCACATTGTGCCGTTTATGAACTCATTGTCCTTCAGCTCTGAATCCACCATTCACTGCTTGCTCTGCTGTAACGGACCTGGACCTTGTAAACCTTTTTTCCTTGCTAGTGGGCATGATGTTAGGTTTTATCAATAGAGGGCCTTGGGGAGCTACTGTAGGAGGAAGAAACTTCTCTTCCTGGTTCCAGTGTGCCTTTGTTTCTCCTTGTTCTGCTGTGCAGCTGCCAGTGGCACGTGGGGGCTATCCAGTGGTGCTCACCCCTGTTGACTTTCAGTGGCCTCTCTATGGACTGTTTTCCATTGAGTTTCAATGGCATCCCTGCCACTGAACAGTTTGCCTTGAGTTCTACCACCAGCACCTCACGGGGTAGCTTCCTGGTGTACTCTGCTGGCAGATTCTCAGCAGTGATCAGTGAGCCTCCCAGAAGCCCCTCTGGAGACTTCCTGGCAAATTTCACCAGCATCTAGTGATTCTCTAATTGTCCGGTCTGGCCTGCAGCTGATTGGATTTCTCTACCATCCAGTGGGTGATGGCCACCACTTCTTCAACAAGTTTTGGATCTCCGCTCCGGAGGGGAGGGACTCTTACAAGTTTGTTTCTCCCTTGGGTGCTTTGCCTCAGCCTTAGAGTTGGTAACTGCTCCCTATGTGTGCTGTTTCTGTATAAGTAGAGCTTTCTGCCTTTTCCTTAGTTAATTTCTTGTTCCTGGTTAATAATTCTCTTTATTAAACTTTCTCTATTGAAATTACTGTGTGGTTTCCATCTCTTGACTGATATATTCATCGTTAGGAGAAAGAGGAAATAAATGTGGACTGTTAGGCAGAAATTAAAAAAGGATAAGTTGGATTCCTTTGCATTCTGCCTAGGAAGGATCAACTGCTACAGGAGTCGCCTTCTCTCCATAAACAAGTAGAAAACTGCGCAAAATATATGAAATGATTGTTTTCAGATCTTGCACAAGCAGCAGCACCAGCCTATGAACTTTGAGAGACAGGAAATAAAGGAGATGAACCTTACAATTGCCCCAGCCTACTGTCCGGAAGCGGTTTTCAGACTGCAGCACAATGGGGCTACCCAAACCAAGATTAGTCTTGCTGAGTTGTAAAGAAAGATAGCAGAATACAAAGGAGGCCAGAGTACCAGGAATTTGCAGGATGGGGTCCCGGAGAAAAAGGGATTCCACAGAGAGAGAACTCTGGAGATCTCCATAGGGGTCCTTGTAAGTCTTTGGCTGAGTTTGTCTGTGCATACGAAAACTCCATGAGGCCAGGACAGGAACCACCCAGAAACAGCAGGCCAAACACTTCTTGGAGCTCTCAAAAGGGCTAGAAGTTGTGGAAAATTCCAGATTTGAAAGACTGAACACAATAGGCATCAGAGAGAGTGCCCAGTGGGCATCCGAATGGTCATAGCTCAGTGATGGGGATAATTATCCTCAGAGTAAAAGCTGCTCTTTGCCTACCGTTACAAATCTTAAAACAAGCCTCTGAAGGATCAAACTGATAACCAAACATCCTGGAAAAAAACCCACACTACTGAAAGGAATAGAGCCAAGTCCAGCAGACAGCCTTGTAAAATTCACCATGTTGAACATCCAACCAAAAGTTACCAGGCATTCAAAGAAGTAGGAAAATATCACCCATGACGAAAAGAAAAATCACCCATCAAAACAACTCCAGAAATGATAGAGATGGTAGATTTGCAGATGAAGTCCTTAAAATGTTTATTATCAATCTTATAAAAATGCTCAAAGATGCAAAGGGCATGAACATGATGTGGAAAAAAAATGAAAGAATTTTTTAAAAGACAAATTGAACTTGAAGAGATGAAAAAATACAATGTCAAATGAAAAATTCACTGTATGGGATTCACAGAAGATTAGGCACTATAGCGGAAAGATGAGTGAACTTGAAAAAGAAAGCAATGGAAACTATCCAAAATGAAACACAAAAAGAGACAAAGACTCAAAAATTAACAAGGCCACGTTCACACGGGTTACCGGTCTCGCATGTAATGGAGGTCATAGGGACAGGGAGGCAGAAAAAAATATTTGAAGAAATATTAGCCGGATATTTTCCCAATTTGATGAAAAACCATAAACCCACAGTTCCAAGAAGCTCATCGAATCCCAAATAGAAGAAACATGCAGAAAATTACATAGTCACAGCAAAGTAAAATTGCTGAGAACTAGTGATAAAGGTTTTTTTTAACAGGCACATGATTCAAATACCCCTGCTGGGATTTACCCTAGAGAAACTAAAACTTCGGTTCACACAAAAAACTGTACCCAAAGATTTATAATAATCCAAACTCATAATACCCAAACTGGAAACAACCCAAATGTTGTTTGACAGCTAAATTGATAAACTGCAATGTCCATGCAGTGGGCCATATGTTCATTCAGTAGAACAGGACAAACTGGGGCACCTGGGTGGCTCAGTTGTTAAGCGTCTGCCTTCGGCTCAGGTCATGATCCCAGGGTCCCAGGATCAAGCCCCGCATTGGGCTCCCTGCTCCGCGGGAAGCCTGCTTCTCCCTCTCCCACTCCCCCTGCTTGTGTTGCCTTTCTCGCTATGTCTCTCTGTGTCAAATAAATAAAATCTTTAAAAAAAAAAAACAGGACAAACTACTGTACAACATGGATGGATCTTAAAAGCATTATGTTAAGTGAATGAGCCTATAACTCTCTTTATATGAAGTTCTGGAAAATGCAGAAGCAGATAAATGGTTTCCAGGGGGGGCGGGGAGTTCAAGGGAGGAGACCTATCGCAAAGGGGCACAGGGAACTTTTCGAGATGATCGAAATTTTTTTCTCTCTTGATTGTGGTGGTAGTTAGAGATTGACCCATCTTTCAAAACTCATCAGCTGCACACGAAAAAGTAGTGAGCTTTATCATATGTGATTTATACCTCAATAAAGCTTATTATTAAAAAAAAAGGAATGTGTTTAGATTTTTTTATCCATTGACCCAGGAGGATGTCCATGATGTATTGTTGTTAATAGGAGAAAAGCAAGGTGCATAGAGAATAGGTACTATGATCACCGTTAATAAAGCAACACTGAAAAGAAACCCTCTATATCCCTCTCTATGTGTACTGATGTTTGCAAGCTCGTGGAGGATTCTTTGGCAGAAGGGTACACACCAGGCTTGGGTACCACGTGGGGATGGGAATTGGGAGAAAAAAGAGGGGAGATTGTTAAATTTTTCTTATATGTATGCAGGTGGTTTCATGTTTTACCACGAGCACCTATTATTCTCATCATTAAAAAAAGTAATAAAAATAAAAGGGATATCAAAATAACACATAGGGACATGTGTCTATAGAAAGAATTCTGGTGGAGAGAAGGGTCCATTGTGACAGTACAGGGAGGTCAAAGGGGTGAGGATTTTTGTCATTAGACTTGACAAAAAGGAGATCTTTGGTAACGTCTGAGAGCATCTAAGTAGTGGCGTGGGGGCCAGAAGTCAGAATGCGATATATGGAAGAAAGGTAGAGATTGGGAAGAAAGGCTTTAAGTGTGGACCACTTGTTTAAGAAGTTCAGTCATAAAAGGAAAGGAAAGGACTTCTTGTGGCTTCTTGAAGGCCAAGAGAGGAGACCCAGCAGAGAGTTACTGACCAAAGGTATTGAAGAATGGTATAAAATGGTGGTGACAGAGCTCTTGAGATGATGAGGGAGTTGGAGGGACAGAAATAAGAGATGTCTCATTTCCTTAGAATTCAGTTTATTCCATTCACACCCTTCCCAATCCCTGTCGGTAGTCTAAGGAGCCCAGCTTCCTAACGGGTAGCTGGGCCCTGAGTCCTGGCCCTGATCTGGAGCATCAGCCTTGTGACCTAGTGTAAGTCACTTAGGCTCTCTACACTTCAGTCTTCTCCTCAGTAAATGGGCTTGATAATAGTACCTACTTCGTATTGTTGCTATGAGAGAATGCATACAAAAAGCTTAGTTTGCTGCTCAGCTACTGGTCTGGGGGCAGTCTCTCTGACATGTGAGTCTGGGCCATGTGACCAATGATGTCACAATGCCCTACTAGACTCTCAACTTCTCCACTAGGGCGTTGTGGATCCTTTGGAGCCAAGGACTGGAACTGACATGCAAGACCTCTACCAACTGAGGGTTTCATGAGCACACTCCTTTGCCAAGATCTCCGTGAATAGTCCTTCACTGTGCAGTTGTGTCTTAGACATTGTTTTACTTGTCATGATCGTGCTTGGCTGGATGCTCTTTGTTGGACTTGCATGTTACATGGGTGCATTTCCGGAGTTCATGGTAAGTAATGACCCTGCCTGTGAGTCCCTGGTAGTAGTCAGTCCTGGCTCTGGCTCCCCTTCCCAGCTGGGATTTCCAACCAAAGGGGAAGGATAGTTGAGGTCTCACCACTAATTAGAGGTCATGATGCAATGGGAACAAAGTTAGTTTCCCAGGCTACTTCTCATCCCCTTGGGATAGCTTTAAAGTTCCACCTGTCCCTTGGCTACATAACAGCACTTATCTCAAAGCATTATGGCATTTATAAGGGGTCTGCTGGAGAGGGTGGGTTTCAGGCCAAGTAGATGAGTGGTCGCTGGTAGGAAAGGGAATGTGGTCATTGGTGGGACCTCCCAAGAGCCCTTGCAGCCATACAGAGGCCGTTACCTACTAGGCCAACAAAGAGAACCACTTCTGCCTTTAAATTTCTTTCTGACTCAGCCTCCAACTCTGAAGTGGAAAGAGAAGTGGCCTGTTCAGGAGAACAAAACACGACTGAGGAGCCGGACTTTGGATGAAGACGCACAGCTCTGAGTGAGTGGTCAGTTTGCTGGACTCAACTCCTGCCTTTCCAGAGAACACGGCGACACCCTGAAATCTCAGTGGAGAGTTTATTTCCGCCCGGGAAACAATCAGCTGTCAAAGGGGAAGTGGTTGGAGGTATGTGGTGGGGGAAGAAGACGGCGAGCCCTGCTTTGGGCAGCAGGCCAAGGTTCCAAGATTGGTTAAGCACATCTCCTAGGTATTCTTTTCATTCCCGTCTATTAACTTCTTTTCTCACAAACTGTAAGAAGTTGGATGAGTGTTTTCAGCATCCCTTTTGGCAGATCCCAAGACTGGAGGTACCGTGAATGAGTTCAAGCCCTCACTTTGCTCCTCACTGTGTGACCTTGGGAAGGTTGAATCTCTCTAAACTTCACTTTCTTCATCTGCCCAATGGAGACAGCTCAGTATCTTACTATTCTTGGGAGGATTGCATTTGGGAATTCATGTCAAGCATTTGATGCAAAGCATTTACTAAATGCTAATTTAACAACTAAGCAAAATAATGAACTGGACAACAAAGATTTACTGTTGACAATAACCTCAACTATTTACCCAAGGCCATACAGACCAACTCGTTTGTGAAGCTGGGATGCAAGCCTAGGTCTCTGGACCTAATAGCCTCTTGCACTCATTCCACTGAACCAGCCTGCCTCTAGGAAACATGAATACAGTCTCCTTTTAGCAAACATCTCCTGGGGTGCTCACATCCCACTCCCTTTCATTCAGACCTGTTTTTTCAAAGATGTTCCCACTGTTAAAGAAACAAAGTCTTAGTAATAAGCCGGTTACAGGAGCAGGTGTTCTGGGAAGCTACTCTGGACGGCAGGGGCATCAAGTCCCAACCCCAGTGATACTAAGAACAGGGCATGAGGGTTCTTTTTTTTCTCTCCTCCTGCCTCAGAATGTCTATATGAGTATCGACCCAACTCAGACCTTTGTGGGGGTGCGGTTGTGGATGGAGGCACTGGGCACTTGCTTAGCTGAGCCACCTGATCCTGACCAAACCACTGAAACTGTTTTGTGCCTTAGGTTCTCCAACTGTGAAATGAGCATAACAGCCCATCTTCCTTCTCTTCCCTTTCCAGGGAGGTTGTAAGGAAGCATACCCTGCATAATGAGGGTTTAACTGTGGTGTTTCAAAAAATGCAAGATTTTTCTTTTTTAAATAGCCTAGCAATAGTATATAAAGTAATTGCTCACAGCATGCCTAGCCAATCCTCCCAATTAATCCAGGATATTTTTTGTTTTGTTTTGTTTTTTGCATAGCAATGCTTTTTGCATCTGATTGCATAAAACCAATAGTTAATATTTTGATAGGTGATGAGTTAATAAAGATGTGATGCTGGTAGATCCTAACCACGTAGCGTCACCAGTGAACAGGGCCCTTCTGTTAGGGTTCTTTGGCCCCAACACGCCAGGCATCCTGGCCAACTCCCATAGCTACTCACTCTGACTGGTCCCCCCAAGGTCACAAGAGCTGATGTCACAATTGGTGTCTGAGCTCTGCCCCCCAAAGTGGCCATGGCGAGCCATTGCAGTTCAGACTGGACCACAAAGCTCTCCAGCCAGGAGCTGACATGCTGGGCGATCCACCCTCTGGTCTTGAATGAAGACAGCCCAATTCCCAGGACTCAGGAAATAGAACACCACACCTTTCAGAACCACCCATTTTCCCCAGCACACACCACCAGCTGAGCAAGAAGCCCCACAATGATTGTTATCTTATGGTTGCTTCTCATTGCAGGAACCATGTGGAAGGGATATAAGTATCCCCCAGGAGGGGTAAGTATGCTTTCAACTTTGTTCTCTGTTCCTACTTTGGAATGTATTCCCCCAGATCAATGAGCTAAGCATCAAAATCCAACTCCAGTAACTTTAGAAACAAATAGTCTTTTCTTTATTAAGAAAGTGGTTGTAGCTTACATACTTCTATTATCATTCACTATCTGAGAGTTCCTTCTGTCTTTCTTGTCTTTCTTTGATACATATTTTGCTAAGTCTTTAGTCTTACATTCTTCAGTTTCAAAGAACCTAGAAGTGTAGAGGTAGAGATATCTCAGGCCCAGAGTCAAAGCTGTCTGACATGGGTGACCTTGTCTGGTGCTCAGGGGGCCATTTTGTGGGCTCAGGCTTCAGTACCATTTCTTAAATCAGCTCACACCAGCAACCCAGAACTAACTCTCTCCCTTCTTGAGTAAACGGTGGTCGATAAAATGGTTCTGGTGCTAGAGATCTTCTCTCTTCTTGTTAGGCCTTGGATATTTGTTCTTTTTTGGCCTCTTGTCACCTCCCCCATGGCTACACTCTGGCAACTGGGATCAGAGGCATTAAGAGGCAGAATTGGACAGCAAGGAGGGCAATTGCCTCATCCCCACACCCCAGCAAACACTAGGTAAGGCCCACCTGACATACTTTTCTCCCCCCCAGACCCCGGTGGAAATAAGCAAAGATGATCCTGGTGAAGTAATGCAGCTCTGAAGCTCACCTGACCAGCTGTACAGTTTCTGTTGTTGGTTTCGCATAAAGTAATTGCACACTATTTTGTCACATTTTATGTAAAAGGTTACCATACTTTTTAAGATGAAGACTTGGTATTCTGTTAGCTCGAAACAGGGAGATGGAGGGTGGGGAGGTAGTTGGGGTGGATGAATGTGATTGGGTCCCCTACGTTTCAGTCCCTAAGACTGGCATTAAGACTAAGATACCTCGTTCAATTTGCCCCCTATTTTGCATCCTTAAGGATAGAAATTTTCTAAAGTTCCTTAGACCTAGTTCCCAAGTATAGGCTTTCTCCTGCATCCAGCGTTGAAAAAATGTTACAGAAAAGGCTATTACAGCAACTTTAAGCCTATCCTTTGGGGATACTTCTCTGTGGCCTTTTCACAGCTGTTATCAAGAACCTAAGGCTTACACTGTGTGAGGAAAGGGCTGCATTTTAATATTGGGTGCTAAATTACACATTATTTTAATCCTTAGAATAACCTTCTGGCTTGGCCACTGGCCTCATTTAACAAAATGGCAAAAAATGAAGTTGAGAGGTTCAGGAATCTTACCAGCCCCACAGCTCTGGGTTGCAGAGTCAAGATTAAGATCCAGACCTTCTCCTTGGCATGTTTCTACGTGCCAAGGAAAAGAGCCAAACAAGAGCCTGGAACATCCAAGACCTTGGCTGTCTCTTGGCTCAAATGCCTCCCTCACCTGAATAGCCAAGAAGGTGACTGATGATTCTTTTAGCAGTGACTTCTGCTAATACAGGGCAGCACGCATAGAAACAAAAGCCAACTGCTCAGTCCTTAATATGATTCAGTTTGAGTTTGAGACCAAGGATGGAAACCTAAGTATAAGACCCATGCAATTATTCTGAGTGTTTGAGCCCTAGGATATTCCTCATAAGCCCTCTAGAGGTGGTTTGGAATTTTCTGACCCTGAGAGGGGAGTGGGGGGGAGGGGGGCGAACCTAATAAGCAAGTACATTTCAAACAAACTGTATGGAACTTTTCCCATTCTGTGGCTGCCTGGGACAACTGATAGTTCCATTGTTCAGAAGGGCATCCTTACCACCAAAGTAGATCTTTTGGTTATGCAGGTAACATTTTGTTGATGACTATTTGGTACATGTTTGCTAAACTATTTTTAAGTGGCCCTGCACACTGAATGGATTGCCCTTTCTTATTTTTTATGGAAAGAAACGGGAATTCAAAATCCATGAGCAACACTATGTAATCCTGACTCTAGGATAGTAGCGTCTCTTATAATACTTCTTATGTGATGGCGACCCAACGTATCCCCTCGAGTTAAGTGCCTAAATTCTCTGGCTGCATGGCTGTGCCCACTCGCCTCATATATTCCAAGGGACTCATCTCAGTTAACTATTTCAGGCTCTTTTTATTACAGGGGATCAGAACCTGCTCATTTTCTTGACAAGAACTATATACCCAGTTCTTCTTCCCTCCAGTTTCCTGAATATACCTCCAAACAATTCTCCTAACTTGGGTGTCTGGTAGCAGACCAGCTCTCTTAAGCTGGTGGGGGGCGGGGAGAGGTGTCAGTTGTGGGGACTGAGCAGACATGAATGTGTCAGGGAGAATGAACAGAGGTGTGTGTGTGTGTAAGGAGGCAAACCCCATCTCAAGTCTGATGAGTCTACCGGAGGTTCTAGCTGGGAAAATGTTCAGGGCGATGAAAGAAGGAATATCTGAGTTTGGGTAAATAAAGGCAAACCAGTGAAAATATCAATAAAATATTTTTAATGCCTACAATTTCTTTTATACATAAATTGCAAAACTTTCACCTGTATATGCAAAAGTAGATTCTCTTGCAGGTCAACAGCACCAGAAAACAAGCTAAGCTATGTAAATGTTTTCTTTTTTAAAACTTGATTTGTCCATTATGTAAAAGACATGATGGATTTAATAACTCCAAAGAAATCTATATATCACTCTTAATCATACACTAAACACCTGAATATTTTATCACATCCACTCACAAAATAAATAGTAGTCTAATATATTCAGCACATTGAAAATAAACCAACCAGTCTCTCTTCATATATTTATTCTCTTTCCAAACATGTTTTGGTCTCCTGCTATATCTCAGAAATGTACTAATAGCTGCTTTTAAGTTACAAAATACAAAACAGTAATTTCTTGGAGAAAATCTTGGGGTAACATTTAAAAAATGAAATTTCGAGTTCCCATAGACTTTCTTTTTTGTTAACAGTCTTTGAAGCCTCTCATGGCACACATGTAAGGCTGTCTGTGACATGTGGTACCCTGGCCTCCAAATGGACATAACTGCATTTATAGTTTAGAGAAAATACAAAGACAAGTTCTGAAAGTAGCCTTAAAAGAAAGTGCCCCTTGCTTTGATATAGCAGTATCAAAAGCAAGTGGGACTGTGCAATCAGAGCCATAATGAGTTTTATGAAAACTACTTTCCTTTCACATCATCTGTTAGAGAATGCCACACCCATGATCATGTAACATTACAGTCGTGAAATAACATTACTACATTCGTGAATTAACATTACCCAATAAAAGGCACATCTTCAGATATTGAATTAATAAAATCTGAAAACCAAAGTGGTAGAGGATACATTAAAAACCAAGCACTTAATTTGTAAACCTTAATAAAATAATAGCTTATTCCAGTTTCTTCAAAGATTTGTGGGCTTTTTGTAAGAGTGGTTAGGAACTGCAGAACAAAATGGAAGACAGGATTTGGAAACAAGGCCAAGACTAATTTAAAAGACTTTCTCAGGACTTCCTTTTTAATTGAGCTACAGAAGTGCCCTTTTATAATGTTGATGCTGAAGAATAATAACATCTGTAGGAGAAATGCACTCAAAAGTGATAACGCCTAAGGACAAAACCTGACTCTTCCAAGTTCTGGAACTTTTACCTAGCACAGTGGTGCCTTTATGTACAAATAACTGCACACTGAGTAAAGTGCTAGTAAACTTTTAAGCCACGAGAAATCTTTCGGCTATGATAAGCACTTGATTGTAATAGATTTTCAAAGAGTCTGAATATTGAAAAAATATATCCAAGAAAAAAACCTTTTTGGCGGGGGGGGGGGGCACAAAAGTGACAGCAAAGAATAAATAATGTTCCAAACCTGTTTAATTACATGAACATCACACTACCCTTAAACCAATTTCACTGAAGGTATTTGAGATGGGTGAGAGGCAGTTGATAGGATTTTCTGCTAGTGTAACGGTTCTATGTGGATCATTAGAAAAGGTGTTATTCCTAGTGATGAAGACCTCTTTCATAGGATTCACCTTCAAAGTTAAATCCTTGCACTTCTGAAATTTGAAACTCAATTCAAAATGAGTCAGTCTTAAGGGCCTGGGTCACATGGTTGTCCCATTAAAGAAGGCTAACAGTAATCTATACTACCAAATTTGAATAAAGAAAGCTTTATGGATAAAAAGGAATACATGAAAGCAATGTTTGGAACTGTTTTACAAGCTTATGTCCCACTGCCCCCAACCCTCCACATTTAGAATCAAGAAGGACAAATGTTCTCTAGCATCATCATATCTCATTTTCTATTGCTGACTTTGAGACTTGGCTTCTCTCCAGCCAGAATCTATGTCAGCCTGATTGGAATTGCCTGGATTTGAGGCTTAAGAGATATCAAGTCTACAAATATGACTTGAAAACAAGTGAGAATGAAGAAAGTTCCACAGCCCAGTAAAACACTAGTAACAGGGAACATCCTTTTCTACCTGGGGAAAAAAATCTCTTCACAGTGCATAGTTTGAAATAAAAGTGCAATATGGGCAAAAAGAGAAGGTGGTGCTCTTGATACACATGAATTTAGTTTTTGGTTTTTGCCATTAATTGCTAAAGAACTTAAGATAAAACATGGTCATTAATATCAAGAGGTACAGGGGCACCTTTTTCCAAAATATTTTTATAATGAGGGAAGAGGGGAGCCTCACATGTCACTTCCTCAGTTTTTAAACTATTACTCTTCCAAATCTAATGTTTGAATAAAATAAGCATTTTTCTTCAATATAAAAATGAATTTTTTAGATAAAAATCAATCAGCACAGTGACCTTGTCTATTTTATACTAAAGCCAACGTAACAGGAAATCTGAAAGGAAAACTTGGAAACATATTTTTAAACTAAATGGCATAACTTGTATTTTAACTTGAAAAAAATTTTTTGTTAATTGCCTTATCACCTAAATTAGTGAATAAGAATGCTTAGCATCCAATCCACGAATAATGCAGAATACAATATAATTTATTCTACTTTTACTTCAAAGTCACAGAGATGACATCCATACGATAATTATAAAGCCTACTCTACATTTTCAAGTTCTCAATCCAAACATATAGATTAGGACAGGTCACTTTATTGCTGGCAACATTCATGGAAGGGCCAGGTTCCTCATTAAAAGACAAAGTAAATTTGATTGGGAGCCGGGCAGTGCCCTACTCACACAACAGCAGTATTATGAAGTCACGAGGCAATCCTTTTTTTTCTTTTTCAAAGTAGCAAAGGAACAATGTAAGATTGGCTGACTGGCAAGCGGCCCCACAACAGAGTGCATAGCTCATCAGGATCAAGGCTGGCACCTGTGAACAGTTAACTTCCTAAGAGCACTCAACTGGGCATTCTATCATCTGCATTACAGATTTAACCCTGGAAAGTATCTGAAAACGCTTTATGCTCCAATGACAGCCTGCAAATGATAGTATGCATTCCCCCTTCTTGAGTACCCAAGTATAAATCTAAAATCATAAAGGGGCTTCTTCATTCTGAAGGCAGGACCTCCTTGCAGCAGAGTGTCTCCAGAATTTCACAAAAATAAATAAAAGCAGCAGCTAATGCTTCTTCAGCTTCTTGGCCTTTCGACGCTTCATTTCTTCTTCTTCACGTCTCATTTCCTCTAAGTCCTCCTGCATACCTAGTCTCAAACTGTCAACAACAACAGAAAAAGCATTTATCAACATACATGAAATTACCACTCTCTTTAAAAATTAAAAGTGAAATTTAAACTGGGAGCTCATATGGAATGTGCTGATGCATTAAAAATGCCTCAAGGCTTTACCACTGAGAACTAGCAAGTATACTTTTTACTAGGAGCCTCTGCTACTGACTCGACTCACAGTAGAAAAAAGACCTCACATAAAACCTCAACACCAAATACCTTAATGTTCCCAGTAAAGTAGTAAAATACAAACTGCTTATCCTAACAGCTTTTAAAAATCATAAGAAAGTTTATTCAATAAATAAAATAACATTCTATTTTTATCCCTTCCCACCACTTCGATATTTTATGTAGTTACAAGAGGGGAAGGCAAGAGGGAGAAAGGCTTAATATTCTGGGTCGAGACTGAATTGTATTATTTTACCAAGTTAACACTATAAACAAAGTAATCACTTGTTACTCCAAACCAAGAAATTATCATTAGTTTGTTATTAGGTATTCAAACAGGAATAAGACAGAATTCCCATCCCTCCTCAGGTCCCTAAGGTCGGTAGTGGTATAGGTTAGCAAGACTGAGATGTGTCCGATAATAGAAAGGGAATTAAAGATGGGGAAAGAGGGGCGCCTGGGTGGCTCAGTCGTTAAGCGTCTGCCTTCAGGGCAGGTCATGATCCTGGGGTCCTGGGATTGAGCCTGGCATCAGGCTCCTGCTCAGTGGGGAGTCTGTTTCCCCCTCTGCCTCTGCTCCTGCTCTCTCTTGCTCTCTCTCTCAAATAAATAAATCTTAAAAAAAAAAAACAAACACAAACAAGAACACATTGCAATAGGGTCAGAGGCAGCTTCTAGCACTTACTGTGCGCCCAGAAGGGTGAGGCACTGCACTAGGCAGCTTGTACACATTATTTTAATACAGTACCTTAATAAGTAAAAACAGTAAATTCTCATTTTACAAACAAGAAGACAGATTTAGAAAGGCTAAAGAATTTGCTAAAGCCCCATGGTAAGTAAGCAGGATTGGAACTCAGAACTGTGTGGCCCAAAGCCCCTGCTCCCAATGGTGCATGCAACTGAAGCAGGAAACAGGAATGTTCAGGACATTTCTGCACAAATGTGTTACGTTTTGTGCTTACCTCTTTGCTTCTTCCTTCTGCTGCTCTTTCCAACTACTCTCCATGTAACGTAAGGCATAATCGCTTTCATCTTTGTATCTGATAAGAGAAAATCAATGTTGTTAAAAAAGCCCAAATTCCCAGTTTTTTAAAGGAACTGCATTCTCCTGTTTTAAAAATCAGTATCTTTATAACAAAAACAAAAACACACTTAGAATTACTCTTTCTGTCTTCGCAAGGAGTGAGGGGGGCAGAGGATGGGTAGAGGTGAGTTTCTGAAATAAATTAAATGAGTCCTTATTACTCCCTGAAGGCAACTATTCCTGAATTTAACGTCGATGAAGATTACGATCCAACAATGTTTACCTCTTTCGCCTCTAGTTACAGGATAGTTTATATTAAAATCCTGAAAGTACAATATATATGAAAATCATTTTGTACATATTAATCTCATTTGAGCCTCTTGAGAAAGGGAAGGACTTTAGAACAGAGACTGAAGGGGCGCCTGGGTGGCTCCATCAGTTAAGCATCGGCCTTCGGCTCAGGTCATGATCCCAGGGTCCTGGGATCAGCCCCATATCGGGCTCCCTGCTCAGCGCGGAGCCTGCTTCTCCCTCTGCCTGCCGCTCCCCCTGCTTGTG